TTTCAATTAAACTATTTTTTTTTTAGATATCTAATTTTATCCAAATTTGAACTTAAAGTATCTATTAAAAATACAGTGTTTATATTTTTTAGATTTAAAGGTTACAGAATGAGTTACTTATGAGATATCTTCTTTCATGTTTTTAATCCTATTATTAGCTATAGAATCTGAACTTTTAATGCTTATAATACAAGTAACAAGTCCTGGATATAAATCTTTAATATTTTGTAACTGCTATTATAACCATATTTATTAAAAGCCAGGGAACTATGTGTTACATTTTCAAGCTTTATGATCCAGTTAAAATACTTTGAAAATGTAATTTATGGACAATGATCATATAAACATTAGATTTAAGTGTAAAGTATCTACAGTTATTAATTTTTGAGTTAAACAAAAAAAATCAAAAAAATCAATTTTATCAAAAACTAGTTTTGAGTAAAAATTCCCGTTTTTCATTAATTGTTTTTATCCATTATCCCCCTACTCTTTTGAAAACTAATCGGATTTTTGCTTTTGAAATCCCAAAGTACCAAGTGAATTCAAGTATTCCTACCAAAAAAGATACTGATATTTACATTGTATATATATTTTTTACACGAAACATACCTAACACGCATTTTTTTATAAGCTGTGAACGCATTATTATTTTATATGTTACGTAATATTAATTGGTTTTAATTGAAATGTAGGTTAACTATGTTTAAAAAAAAAGATTTATTATAGGTATTATATTATATTGTATGCGTTGAAGTGTAAATACTCTTATATATAAACGAAGTATCTATGCAGCCATGTAGGTACCTACATAATATGAGTTGGTATCTCTTTATGTAGTGTTTTAGTTATAAATTATAATCAACGTATTACATTGTACTTTCTACAGTTTTTTTTTTCCGGGATTGGAAATTACTGTTGGAAACTTGTTACTACGGGAGGCACGTATTAAAATCGTACATTAGTACTTACTATGTAATTTTATTATTCGATTTTTTAATTTTTAATGCAAAATTAATATTTTATCAAACATTATATTATATTGTATGAGTATATAATTTATAAAATGATTACTATGTTGATATTTCCTCACGAAAAAGTAAAAACAAAAGTAATTATCATTATTATGTGATTAATAACAGTTGCTTTTGAATAAAATACATAATGATGCAGTTCAACGTCCAAGTGACATGATAAGCAATATGTATGCATTATATAGTCTACCAATTAGTGTATAATACTCATTGAATAATATGAAAACGAATGTTGTTTCAGAGATGCGTTTGTATATTATATTGTCTATTGTTTGGTTTGACGTTAAAACAACCTGTGATTTCGTAATAATAATACAAAAATTAGCAGATAATTAAACACGGATATCATCATCACACGAAATTTACTTCCAAGCACCCTCCAGTTCATATAGAATGTTTCAACTACTTATTTTGAAAGTAAACTGATAACGTTTTTATTATTCTGAATTTCTGAATACTTACATGCAATATATCTACACAAGATACGATCGTAAGAACTAAAAACAAACAAATCAAATGTTTGATTTAGTTGTATACTATACTTCCTATTATCGAATAATGCGGACTCGTTATTGCTACCTGAATTCTAATGAGTTAAAGTCGGTCACAATATTATTATGCTGACATGCCGTAATAAGTATAACTTTTTAAGCGTTACGTTTATTTCAACGATTTTTTTTATAACATATAAGCTTATATATTACATATTATTATACGTGGTAAAAGTCATAATTTATGTGATTATGTTGATGGTATATTTTACCATGTAGGATCAAAATTCCTGCGTTTTATTTATTATTACATCTACAGTGTATATGAGTCATAATAATTATAAATGGAATGAAATCATATAATTGATTAATGTTGTGCACTTGTGTTATATCATATACCTACCGACGGACATTTATTTTTTAAGTGACTGAAAAATATATTTATAAAAGAGCTCATTTTCTAGGACAACAATATTATTGTTTTTTGTTTGTTTTGTTAATTCTCAGCCACAGTGGTCATTGAAATTGAAATTGAAATATAAGCCATAACTTATAAGTTATAAGGTTAATTATAACGTGTATAATGTGTACTTGTGATTTCTTGTGATTAGTGGCTGGTTGAGCGATTTGGACAGGAAAACAGGATATTATAAATCTTGGCTTCCCGCCTATCCTTATAGCAGTATGCGGGTCATACAGTTAATGTATACGTTTGACTCAGGCTGGTACCACAATAGACGCAGATGAGGAATTCCATCGTCCTGATAATATTTGTGTGAGTGGTGAGTATGACTTAATTATACTGGGCTAAATGATTGTGGATATTTTGTTTGACTTTATATATTTTAACAATACAATTACCCATCTAAATGTATCGGGGCAGTTTATTACCTGGATAGTAAACAATAATTACATTTATTAATAATTTAGTAGGTAATATAATATATATATTTTAAACATAAATACAGTTATGTAGTCTTAACAATAAAACGTCGTTAAATCTAATATTGACTATAGTCTATACATTGTATGTTATATATTGGCAAAAATTAGTTCAACAAATCTTAAACTAAATAATTAAAAGAAAAGTAAATTATTAATAGTAGGTGTAATAGTTAATCTATACATATAAAACTTAGTCACTGATCGCTGTAACTCAAAAACTACGCAACTTACGAATTTGAAATTTGGAATAGAGGTTCTTCTCATATTCAAGAAAGGATTTTCAAAAATATTGTGTTTTAATGGAGTAATCAACAATTATATTTGTATTGCGCGGCACAGTACGGCCGAACGCGGTCTTCTAGCTGCCAACAACTTATCATTTTTGTCCTTCACGTAGATAAGAATTGTTCCGAGAAGTTATAGGGATATATTGTAAATATGAAAAATACACACGGGCGAAGCCGGGTAATTCAGTCAGTACACCTATAACAGTATCACAAAATTGAAAATATCCTTAGAAATAGAGGCTAGCACATAGGTATGTCATGCTCTAAATCGTTGTTCGTATAAATTGAATACCTACATGGCTGCATACGTATAGGTACATATACAATTTCATACAATTTAAAACCTACTACACCTATACACATCAGAGTGATTTCCCCAATTTTTTTTTTTTAGTTATAGGCGCCATATTATTGTAAGTCAAGACCATAGATAGATTGGATTTACGACAGGAGTTCAATGTTAGTTGAAACAAGTAGGTGTACAGTGTATGAGAATAATCCAGTGAAGAATTTAAATTATTTAAAATCTTAAAATATTTTGCCTTGTTGATTTTACATTCATTGTAATAATTTGTATAATTAAATTAGTTAAATTACGTACCTACTTACATAATTTTAGTAAAATATTCAATGTTTATTGTATGATATGGCGTTTCCCACACTGGGAGATATTACATGAAACCATTTTTTGTTGTATTATTTTTTTATTATTTATTATATTTCAAATATTATTGTTATGTATGGGAAAATATTTAGGACTTAATTTGCAAGGATGTTTAGGTTATTAATCCATATTGCAGAATTATTGTGTATCTATAACTAGAATTGCCTTACTTTGTATAAATTTACACTAATGGTGTGAAAAAAAACAAAATTGTCCTTGTCGAGTGAGGAAACTTTTTTGTTGATAACGTCTCTGATTAATTTGATTATGTATTATAGACTGCAGTTAAGTATAGTAAGTAATAAAGGTCTGAACAGAATGAAGAGATCGAGTATCTTAATTCTCTGAATTCTTAAATCAACTCGACTACCTATTCTACTTCAACTATTAGGGTGCACGTTACTAAATATTACTTATACTATTACTGGCTATAAGTTATAGCTACTACTTTACAGTAAAATACTTACCAATAAAATGTTACCATCAAAATATATTTTTATATTATTGTGCTATAGTTACAGTTTATACGTTATTTGACAGTTACACAATTACTAAAAAAAAATAAATATATAGAGTTTATTCGAATACGGTAAATAAATTATATTTTATGTACGAGTTTATACATTATATCTATTTGATAATAGGTATATAATACGTAATACACTAATATGTATCATGAAACTGACAACAATTATTAAGAGGATGTGTCAGCGCACTGTTTCTTCCTTTGGACAACGCTAAACAAAGACGCATTTAGATATGCAGAATCGTTTTTTTTATGCCTTTGAGTAATTTCAGAGTAAAATCACCCATTTCAAAAACGATGTACAATAATATTTTTGAGAGTACGGCATATCGATTTGTCTAAATATGGTCTCCAAACAATTTAAACATAATTTAAATTTACAAATTTTTATTTTTTTATTTTGAAGGTCGAATTCTAAATCAAATAATAATAAAAAATAAAACCGATATACCATACCCCCCAACATATTATCTTCTATAGTTTATGTAATAAGTGATTTGAAATTACTCAAATATCGTAAAAACCGATTTTAGTTGAAGGTGTTTTATCTATGTCGAGTATGGTTCTGAGAGAGAAAACAAATATTGCTCTGATATCCTCTTAATATAAATTTATTCGACCGGTTCTAACTACAATAATACTCAAAATGTTTTTATCTATGAATCTGTTTTTCATTTCAAGTAGATAGCTACATTCGTCTGTTCGGCGGTGACAACATCGTTTTGACAATTGATTTTTGATTATTTATACAGACTTCTGCACTTCAATAACGGTTGCATAACATTTCTAGGAATCCTTTCCTTCACCTATAAGAAGGCCGAAATATGAAAACAATATTTTTCAATAACGTCCGATCATTTTTGCATCATATTCAAGGGTAAGCTTTCCGAGTATCGTATTTAAGCCTATTATATAATAAATAATAATAGTATATTATTTTCATACATCACCTTCGCAGTAGGTACCTCCCAACACTACCTACCAATTTTATACGGTCGCAGGTAGGTATATATACGAACGAAGCATCATACATCAACTACTCTGGTCCACGATAATGTTATAGATGTACTCCCGGGCAAATAATATTATATTGGTATAATACATATAAATGTAGTTCGTGTGCGCAGCGGGTACCAGCCGATAGTGTACCTGTATTTTTAGTGGGTATCCTGCCTCCAGCTTAGTGATCGTTTACAGCACGACCGAGTGGGACTATTAAACAATCGGCGCTGCGTTTTGTTTTCGTTCGATTAACCCGATCGCCCCGTCGTCGTGAGAACTAGACAGTGTAATTTCGTATGCACTGCGGGCGGCTTTCACTTTTCTCAGCATTTTTCAGAGTTCGTGAGCAAAACGTAACTGGTTTTCAGTGCCGGGATTATGCAATGTTGCAGTAGATAATATGCTGGTCTAGTCTCAGTAGGCCGGGTCGGAGATCGTGTGGTGCTCTCTTAACCGATGCGGTGATACGGCTCCTAGGCCCTAAGTCTCGTGAGACGCAGTGATCCGCTGCAACGCAAACCGGACGGCCGTTTTATACGGTGTAAACATGAAGTTCGTATCTGCATGCCTTGTGTTGATGGTCGCTGCTCTGCACGGAGGTAAGACATCCCGTAAACGCGATCACTATACGTTCGTAGTATGAGATATTATTAATTCGATTAACACAATACGACTATACTATATAAGCTATATTTATCCAAGAGTACAATATTGTAAACTACGCGAAACCTTCAAACGAATTTGAAACGATAAAATATAACTCTATGTGAATAAGTAATTAAAATTATACGGCAGAAAAAAAAAATTAAAAATAATGACTACATAAGCCAATACGCGATTTGGTTTTCGTACTAATTTTCATCGACATACGATTATATTAGATAGCCTCGTGTAGCTCATGATATCGTTATATTTGTAATCAAACATTTTGGGTGTATTATTTTTGATATACTATTTTATAATATCATTAATTATAGGAATAATGACGAATTTTCACAGATTAAACAACAGTAAATACCTTTTGAAAACTCAATTTTTAAATTTTTGTTTAAAAACAAACCCAATTTGTTCCTGTAATTTGAACAATTTTGTTCAAACGTTTCATTTATTTGTTTGGTAGGACGATTTGAACAATTTTGTCTTATTCTTGGCCACTAGTTAACTTTGAGACTGAAGTTTGTTTTTTGTTATTATATAAAGATTTTTTGTTATTATTTTAACGAATAAATGTTGATTGTTTGATTGTTATAATATTTATTGTATATTAGTACTCTAAGACATTGGCCAAAACAATGAGCTCATACATTTGGGACATTGTTACCCCAAATCCAAGCAGTATTAGCTCAATTTTTTGAAAAAAATTTAGATAATTCAGAGACCGACAATTTTAAAATTACGTATAATAGAAAATATTTTGTTCATATTTGAGTAGAAAATAATATGTACCAATTTTTGTGACAAAGGTTTTTCCAATACCTCTACTTTACAACAATATAGTTACAAAAAAAATTATGAAAAGCGGGCCAATAATACCCATTATATAGAGTACCTATATAGTACACTATTATTAGGTATACAATATGCACTAAACATGTATAATTTGAAAATTTATGCTATTGAATTATAAAAGTTGAGTTATTATAGCAATGAACAGCCAATAGTATCTATTTTAAAAAATAACGACGACATGGGTACCTATTCGTGTTAATTATTTTATACTGAAAATTTATTTAAAATATTTAAATCTTTATGATTATCCTGTTGGAGGTTTTGCGAAAGTCATAATTTTTGATTCAATTCATAAATTATAATAAATTACATTTTAACTGTTAATTATTTAAGTGTAAATTTAATAATTTTACATTAAAACAATGTATTATGTTTGAAGACCGGTAATATTTGGCAGATATTTCATAATTTATGTATAATTTTGAATGATGCCAAAAATGATTGAAAATTGTTATTTTGAGGAAGGTAACTTAGGTTTCATCTATATCCAAATTTGAAACAATTTGTACTTCGGTAAACATTTTTAAAACATTTTTATTTTCCAATAACTTAATATATTAAATTGTAAGACACATTTTCTACTCATCATCTAACAAAAACATAATTTTTAATTCAAAACAGCGACGGATCTAGGAATTCTCCTAGGAAGGTGACGCACTTTTTGTGTACGTTTAATTATATTGGTCTTTCGAGCTTTTATGAAACTATCCATTTAGGTTAAAATTGTATTCATGTAAAAAGAAAGGTATTTTTCCAAATATGTTTAAGATTTAATTTATTTCTTTCTAGAAATGTAATAGATATAGGTAAATAGGCATGTACATGAAAATAATATATCCAGATTACCATGTACTTTTGAGTTATATTATAAAACTAATTGAGGGACGGTGGGCGGGAGCCCTTCTGTGTCCTCGCTTCTGATTCAAAATATATTACTTACTACTATGATAGGTAGGTATTAAATAAAAATGAATTTACGAAAGCATTACAAGTAATAATAGCTACTAATAATAAGTAATAACAACTAATTAAGCATATACAGTAAAACCTCCTTATAACGGAATCGCTAGGTACCAACTGATTTTTCAAAGGAGGTCCGTTATAATTATGTTTTGCTGAACATCATACATTATAACATAACTGTTCATTGGTAGGCACTTGGAAGTTTTAATTTCTAATTAAATGTAATTAATATTATTATTTTTTTTTTACTTAAGGTTTCTGTTTGAAAAATAAAATACAAGTATTTTTAATGAAAGCAAATTTAGCAGAAAGCACCCTTAATTTTATTTACTTTAACACTGTATCAAATCCGGAACTATATGTGATAGAAATGCTTGTCATAGCAAAATTAAATCGATACATATTCTGAGTAGGTACCTACCACAATATTGACACGATTTATCAAGTACCCGAAGGCTGTGGGCCAACACTAATTATTTCAATAATATTCTATAATGATTTTGATTTGGCAAACTAGTAATTAGGCAGTATGCGCATGTAGGTATCTGGTGATTTTTGTGGTTTCGTGTTTATTGTTGGACTGCAAAAATAATATTTTATTCATTGATACATATTATGTATTTTTAAACTTCGAAAGTTGTTCCTGACATAATGTTTACACACATAATAATATTTTGCTCGCAAGAAGATTACGAAACAGGTGTAAAAATGAACACGATAAATAAACTAAATGAAAAAACAAAAACAATTAACGCGTTAACTATCTACATTAATGGGTGGGGACACCTTTGAGAAAACTTTTCACTGTGACTTATAATATATAATATAATGAACTACAATATTATAATTTATACGTTTCTAAAGCGCTTACGTCAGAGACCAAATATAGTACGCGTGTGTGAGTGTGCGTCGTGTACACAGCATTATTATCTAAACCACATCCACCGCAGTTGTGTGTACGTTGTAATGCGCATACATCGTTAAAAACAAATGGTCCGACCCGAGTACCCGGTCCATAACACAAACTCGGTCGCCGATGAAATCGAATGACTTCGCACTGCGCACGCGTGAGCCTTCTAATAAGGACGCTCCAACTTGCACTCGTCTGGTGAAAACATTAAAAATGCTCAAATTGACGACAAGGCAAGTGCAGTGACGTGCGTATGATAATAACTACTGTAGGGACTCGAATAACGGGTCAAGTACTCGAGTGGTACTCGAGGTGTATATGGCGATTATCACCGTATAAACACACTAGCGACGGTGTAAACAACGACTGTACATCATGCGGTGTGAGGTCGGATGGCGGAAATGGGTACTATGCAATTGGTTTGTTTTGACTTTTGGCCGTTTTTCGGGGGGGGGGGGGGGCAGTGCCATTCGATGAAAAACGATACATCACCGCAAGAGGTACAGAGGCCGTCGTGTATTTTCTATTATTTAGTATTCACCCTATCAGACTATGTGGGTGAGATCGATAAAGTGAATATAAAAACAGTATTTAATCGAAAACTGGGTCGGGTTAGGTTCAGAACGAGAGTTGCGAGACACGACACTATAATATTACGCGTACCTAATAGTCAGTGTGTCATTGTCACGTGATTAGTTTCGCGTTTAAAAAATGCAATGTAAAAAATGTTTGCGACGGTACAGGATAGTCTAAAATCTAAATGCATGTACTGAAAAAAAAAACTGGTTCCAAAAAATCATTACGGTTAATTGAACTCGTCCGATTATTGCAAAACCGCGTTGGCCAACTGTGATCGAAATTCACATAATATAATTAAAACGTTATTTAGTTTCCCTTGAAAATAACTTCCATCTATCTTGTACGAATGTATTGTAATTTGATAAAATACCTAAGTATATAAAAAAGTATATTAACAGAGCGTACGGTTACTTAAGTATGACATTTTTATCAGTGGACAATTGTTCGTGTGTATGGAATACACGACAATTTGTGTTGAAGACACTATAGGTAATGAAAATCGTTTATTTTTTATACCTTAGATCGAAGTTAGAACGGTTCCAACAATTTTTCTTCACAAACAAAACAATATGTTTTCGTATGTTTGGTTTTCAATAATACACGTACTGCTTAATATTATTAATATTTAATTACCTTTGGTATTGCCTTTGAATAGTATGTTTTGAAATCCAAATCTAGTGAGATAATTTGTTAGATGATTAATTTTTGGAAATAAATTGAATTATAAGAGTATGTTGGTTGTTATTACCTACCTATTATTATTATTTCCATAATTATATAAACTTATTTCCACCCAATGCATCTTCTATCATTGATTTTAATTTTTATAGATTTGTAACATATTTTCATTCTATCTTTAATATTATATATTTGACAAAAAATTATTATTTAACCCTGAATATAAAAAAAAATTCTATACTATATACTTCTAATTCTATACTATAAAGTATTAAAGTGTACCACTATGTCTATACGTAATTATTTGTCTTTACTTTATACGATTTTCATACATAATAACCTAACTCTATTGATATTCTGAAATAATATTTAATTTGTGATATGAAATGTTTGTAAGAGAATATTTTTTCTACTGAGAATTACTTAGAAAACCACAATAAAATCAAAAGAACTATTGTAAGTAAACAATCTTGAAATATTAAATCAAGATGTCTATTGCCTGTGTACAAATTAAAGTTTATGCAGAATTTTACGTTATTTTTTACTTTAAATAATATAATATATTAAACGGGTGTCTGTGGTTAGATAAAAGTGAGTATGTGCTGAAAAATGAAGATGCAATTAAAATATGATTCGAAGTTCTAAATAGGCAGGGTTGAGCAAGTTAATGAAAATAATGAACTGTGACAAGTTATGTTAATTCAATTAAATTACTTTCAGTTAAAAGTTAACAAAGAAAAAATTTAACTTTATCAGTTTAGAATTAAGATGGAAAATAATTTTTTAAGCTACAATATTTCTGCATTTTTAAGTGCCCTAGTAATTTTATTTACACAAGATAGATTTACTAAGACGTTTAACACTGTGAAAATATCAGATTATTATGATATATAATTAGAAAATAAATGATCAATATAAAATAGAGTCAACGCGTCAGTATTGTTTGTTCGTTACGCATGATTCGAAAACAAAATTAATTTAACTGCAGAATAATGATAATTAACTATAAAACGTTAAGTTATAACAAAAAAACATTTAAACTAAATGTGTGAATAAGTTAAAAACAAAAATAATTAACTTTAACTTTTTGACAAGTTAATGCCTACCTTGGCGAATAGGAAGTAAATAGTGATAATATATTTGATATTTATGTTAATATTAATTCATCTATGTAATAATCAATATTAGAACTTAGAAAATGAGAGCATCTTTTTATACACATATATGGTACACGATGATGTTATAGCATACTATTATGTTAATATAATAATATATGAATATCCACATGAATATTAGTTGAACACGTCATAAAATAGGTACTTTGCATAATCGTATTGTATGTTAAAAAAAGTAAACAGTAAACATAATTTTTAAGAAATAAAATATTAGGGAGAATTTTTAAAATATAACACTTGAAGTCACTATGATATTATAGTAGGTGTAGCGTGTATCTCATTATTGAGTAGATCACTGTAACACACAAATCATTGTATACGAAAAATGATACAGAAACGTCTGTGGTTTATATTTTTAAGGATATTTTAATATTTATATTGCATTTGTTAAATTTTTTTTGCTAGTTTTTGCCCAAAACATATTGCATATATTATTTAAAAAAAAAATTATAATATTTTTCGGTATTCCATATAATATAATTAAAGCGTTCTGTTATTTGCTAATAAGTGAAAAGCAAAATGAATCTAAATATTTTAACTATTTAATTGTGTATAGTCAATAATATCTAACCTAATAGCAAAGACAACATTGCTTAAATTTATTATATTTTTATATTATGAACCATTATAATAACCTATGGTTAGCCAAACCGCTTAAAAATGTAATAAAAGGTTCCTAAATGTATGTTAGTATTCAAAAAAAATAAAAAAATAAATAAATAACTTATGGTAAGTCAGAAAAAAAAATGCATTAATGTTTGAAATTCAAATTTTAACAAAAATCACGAAAACTTATTTTCAATGATAAAGGTCACTAAGACACTTTTTATACAGCAGAGCTAATTTCCAGATTTTTATCATAAAGGAATGTGTATTAATGGGTTTTAATATAAATTAATATTTTTGTTTAGGTGTGTTATCAGAATCAACAGAAAATAATTACGATGAAAAACAAGTTACGTTAGAAAGTTTATCGAGTATTTCTAAAAGGCAAACAAATTTCCAAAATGATAATCTCAATCAACAACAAGTAAAATATTTCATATTTCATATAGAAACCAACAACCAAATTTTATAATATGTTCTTGTTTTTCTATAGATTCCACAAGAATATATCGATTATATTCAACAGGCAAATTATGATGGCAGTTTAGTACCGGAACAACAGTTTGGACAACAAAATATACAACAGTTTGGACAACAAAATGTACAACAGTTTGGACAGCAAAATGTTCAACAACAAGTTTTTGTACAAGGGTACATATATATATATATATATTTAGAGAATTTTTCAATATTGTTGAAAATATTATGTAATGTTATTTTTAGATTACCATCAAATGCATTTCCTCCGACGACTACGACGACACTATCACCATTCAGTGCTGAGCAAGTTCGGATTCAAGGAGAGTATGCGAGAAGAACACTAGTGGAACAGCAGACAGCGCTAACTAGACCCCGTCAGAGGCCTTTAGCCCAACAACTTCCAACTCAGTTTCAACTCCAACCTTCACCGATCCCCGAATTACAGCAACCACAACCACTGCAATTTATAGATCAAAATGGGCAAGTGCGTCAACAAAACTTTGCTCCTCGGCAACAAGATTTAGTGTCACAACAACAAACCGCTTTGCCTGTCTCAAACGATGAACCGTTTTCATACGCTCAAGTCCAATTTGGTCCAGTTGCCAAACAAGAGGAAACAGTCGTCAGCCGACCGAAAGGTCAAAGATCCGTCTCGAGGCCCAGAACAAACTATGCGGTAGAACCTGCTACCCAACAAACGGTAGATTACCCAGCAGTGACTAAGGTGAATCCGGTACAGATTAATAGCCGCTTACTCCAAAACGTGGTTTACATCCAGCCAAATGGTCAGATGTACAAAGAAATCGAAGATACCGAGCCAGTAGTACAGATTCCACGAAAGAACCACTATTACCAGACGATATCAGCTGTAACTTCCGGGCCCACGACTAGCGCCACTTTGACTTCATCAACCACTGCAAGTCCAATCGAAGAAGAGCAAGTGATACTGATTCCTCGGCCGAAGAAACCTAATCAGAGGCCTAGACAGGAAAGCCGGAAACCAAGTAGAGTACAACAGCAGGTGGTTAGAACTGAAAGACCTCAGCAGCAACAAGACCAACAACTGCAGCAGTCATCCGAAGTGGAGCCGGACAATTTTCTCACGTCGCTTCTATCTAGATTCCAGCAGACACAACCAGAGACGACAGTCGCCACTTTGCCAAAAGCGAGAGGCAGCCAAAGGCCAAAAAGCGGTAACCGTTCTGGAACATCCAAGTACTTGCCGGACAGAAGTCAGTTACAGCTATTGCAATTTCCACATGAGCTCAAGGCTTTAAGCAGTGCCGAACTCAAAGCCCTAGAAGAAACTAGCGAGCAGATTGCTGCCGCAAATGACAAATCCGTTGGACAAAAACAGCTCCTAAGAAACACTCCCGTTTCTGGTACAATACCGCCTTCACCATCATCAAACGTAAAACTCAACGAACGACTCATTCTTGGGAATAGACCAGTTCCCATGCCCGTCGAACTTAACGAACAACAGCGTCAGTTCCTGGCAGCTCAAGGTATTCGTAACTTGTACCGTGTGGATTACGATCAATCCGGAAATGAGTTACCACTGACTTATGTATTAGCATTGGATAACCGACCGAAACTTTCAGCAGAGCTGAAACAGAAACTCTGAACCTTCCCATAAAATATCGACATTAAAAAAGTGCCTATTTATGTATTAAGTGTGTCTTAAATGTAATATTATTTTTTTTGTAAATAATAGTAGGTATAAAGTATATACAGCAATTACCCGTTTTCACTATAATCTAAAATGCTTGTTTCCACCATCTCTCGTTTCTGCCAATATTGAAAAAGGTTTGGTTCCCATTTTGGTCAATTTACCTGCTATAATGATTAAAATTGTATAAAGCAACTAAAAATCTAAGGAAATGTATTTTCCATTTTATTTAAATTTAACACAGGTTATATAAAATCAGTTTCACAGTCCTTCGAATAACTTATATTTTTTATACGGGTTATTAGTTTTTTATTTTTTTTATAGAAACTATGTTGAACAAACAGAAAAATATTATGTATTACAAATGTTTGATTTTTATTATTATATTTTGTAATATTAAGCATACAAACTATGTAAAATTATTTCAAGTTAAAATGTAAACATAACTTAACACATATAATAGATGCAACATTCAACATAATATTTTATAAACTCTAATACTTATTATTTAGTAATAAATTATTACACAAGTATTTAAGTGAAAAATCTATTGGAAAAATATGGAATATAAGTATAATAAGTCTAGAGTGATTTATTCCGAGGAAAACGGGAATTAAATCTTTTTAAAATTGGCAGAAAAGTGCAATGACGATACAGTCATTTTAAAATTTTGGCGGAAACGGTACATGTCCGTATACACGTCACTCTTTATTATTATTATTATTATTATTATTATTATTATAATTATTTTGTATTTTTTATGAATTATTTCCTTATTTCATTTGTAACAGTTTGACTTCTTTGAAATACAATATTATGATAACTATTTTTGAGAAAGTGTGCCTATCTTTTAGAAAACTTTATTTATCGTTAGGTAAAACCAAATAAAATGTGGTAACCCCCTCCTCACTGTTAAAATTTCTAGCTACACCCTTGGTTTCGTGAATAATTGAGTAAGGTGGCTAGAGCAGTTGTGAACAATTGAAAGTATACGATAGTTTGCCCGAAAGAGATTTTTTTAGATCATGGTTTTTAATTATACAACCATATTTTATGTACCTATTGCTTTCAGATTATTTTGGTTGCATCAGTTAAGTATTTCTTTAATTATTTACGTAACGTTCCAAGCAATTTGGACGTTTGTATCGTATATTAATACGACGATTTATTGGCAAAACATATTGATACAGCATATTGCGGTGGTTATATTATGGTTTCATTATTTTCAATTAATCAATCTATATATCATCGATTTAATGTTGTTTTCGAATTTAAATATTTTATGTAATTATCCATTCATGAATGTATGATATACAGAGTACTGGCTATTGGGTATTAATTTTTGAGCAAAGAGGTGGATGTATTGATTTTATACTATGATGTGCGTTTAAAAAAATATTATTTTCTATTGTCATCATTTTTTGGGGCAGAAAAAATGTCACCACACCGTTACTCTTATCCTTTCAAATGGCCAACTCCATAAAAACTTAAACAGCATAAAACGACAGAACCTAATGCATTGATTATTATCGAAATAAGTCATAATATATGTTTGCCATTGATACAGATTTAAGCTGTAATGTCAATTCTCAGCTGCATGCACGATCGAATTGAACTATATTGCATTAAATGTGTTTTAATTTTGAATCAATTAAGGTTATTTAATGATACCACAACCCTATTGTTTTAATGGTTGTCTCCTGACATTTATAAGTATAGGGGAAAACAGGAACAAACTGGATATGTATAATAATTATTGTATTCGTTTATTATTTTTCCCGAAATGTGTAATGTAATTACATCAAGTTTTTATTTAATTATTTCCAGAAAAATTTGTTTTACTCAAAATAGTTGGTCTTATTTTTGGTCGGTATTTAAATAATAATAGCAGTAATAAAAACAAAAAATATTATTTTTTCAATATTTTACGCCTTATTAGTAACATTGAAATGAACAATTTAAGAATACGTATGATTAAAGCGACTCCTGAAGTCCTGAATGTTAGATAACAAAGTATGCAAGAAAATGTAGGTTGTACCTAATTTGTTAAAGGAGTAAACAATGAAAACATATTATAATATTATCTACATGACAATATAAATAGGAACTAAAATAATTAAAGCTTTCGTAAACCATAGAAGAATTAAAATATTATAATTCTCTATAATTTGTGAATTATGTTTTTTTTTAAGACGTACTGTACATAAATATATTATTATACTAATTATATGATCTACTGTCTTGTACAAGCTTTCATATAGTTTCATTGTTACTTTTATTGAGGTAAGTAAATGGTAGATTGTCATCATTGTTGTGATGATAAAATATACATTTTATCGCTGCACCTGCTTTATATTACTTTAGAGTCGTATAACAAAATATTGTAAGGTTGAAATTACAATTTTAAAATAATGAAAATATTTATGATGAGTATGAAAATAAACTAATATAAAGGATTTTATGTAAAAATATATTTATACTAAAATTAATCGAATAAACTGCCGTTGAATTTAGTTTGATGGATAATAATATAAAACTTACTGCTATTCAAATAAAAATAATTAAAGTTAATAATTAGTTTAATCAAATTGACCTTTTTTTTATAGGTTGTTATGGAATTCGATACATTTTGGTGCATTAATTTAATTTAAAAAATGTGTGAAGAGGATCATATACCCTGGAATGATGATTTCGTGTGTTTCGCATACACGGTGATGTATATGTATATAAAAGAAAAAATGATTAGATTTTAAACTTCAGTATCTTTTCTGGTAGAAAAGTGACTCTAGTTTGTTTCTTTGGTAGGTCAAAATCAAAAATGTCCAGTATTTTTCTTAGTACAAGGTTCCTCATAAGTTATTATTAATGGAATTGAAAAAAAAATGTTCTTATATTTTTCATAGGCGATTGAAGTTAAATTTAACAACTAAATAGGATGTTATGCGTAGAATACCGATTTCTCATCAAACAATTTTCTTACACTCCGTTCAACTGTAAGGATAATAAAAAAAAGTTCTTGACTAATGACTATATATTTGTATACTTGTATAAGTATAATACATAATTAAATATCATTTTATCAATAATATAACAAATGCTATGTTTTCGACAAAAATTATACCCATTTTCGTATTACTAATAGGCAGTATAATATATTACTATAGTAGTGATGTTAATATAATATCAGAAAAATATACTTAATAATATTGGTTGACCGTCTTCACTCAGAATCGTTTTTTTCCTAAGCAATGACTTATTGTTGAATTTAAATTTAACACATACATTACAGTAACTCAATGGTTACTAGTGCATTCAACATTAGTGTTGTACAGCGGAGTGGTAACATACTTTCCCCCTTTTTAATATTAGAGTTATTGCATGGTCATAATATTTTATTACATAAACAATCACACAAATCAACAAATGAAGGTACTTTTAATATTGCCTATAGCTAACTCCTCAAACCATACAGTCTACAATCACCTTACAAGAGATTAATTGATTATATTAACAATAAACACTCATTATTTGAGAAAATACTTGAGGTTTTGAAAATGTTATTTTTCATGTTTAATTGCATCCATTATAATGTAACAACATTTTTGAAAAAATTCTTTTCGACAATTAAAACATACATTTTTTTAAATTTATTAATTTTAATTGTTTCAACAAATTTTTTTTGTGGTTTTAACAAATATAAGTTAAAGGTTACATTTAGAAGTGTTTACATAAGTTCTGATTTAGATGATTGTGATGATCCAGGTGTTGATTGTGGAGATAGGAATATATCCTGTGGAAGACGTGGTTACTGGTTAGATTTTCAATTATTTTACAGATTTTATAGCGAATAGCTCCTTCGATTTAGTTTAGTCGTAGTTGAAATTTTTTTAATTGATCTTGGATCCGTGTATCTAGATAAGGTATTTCAGTGTCAAAAACTTTTTTAAGAGTCCAAATTATTTTTTAGGTGGGGATTCATTCTGTTGAGCATTGTTGTAGTATTGTTGTAGTTTTTTGGAGAGGGTAGGCAGTATGCTTATAGGTAAATTTTTTTTTCGGGTTTGTGAATTAGAATAATTATTATTAGTTTCCAGGTGTTTGTTAAATGCGCGATTTTTAGCATTAGGAGACTTGTAAGGTAAGCGAGCAATTTTAATGTGAGCTTTTATTTGTTATGAGAACGTGTCCTGGGCTTTTTTTGGAATTTCTTTGGGACTACAAGAGCAGATATTATTCATTATTGTTTGATTTTGGATTTTTTGGGTAGGATAGGTACATACATTTTTAAGTTTATATTTTGAAGAAAAATCATTTCTGAGAATTTAAGTACTACAATCGAATATCGAACCAGTAAATAATTAGTTATACGATTAGTGGAGCAGTGGACTACCAAGAATAAAAGCAATATAAGGAGGTTGACATCCTAGGTGTAAAATCAATTGTGCTTTTTGTTATATTTATTTATGATTAAAAAAAATGTACAATTTTAAAATTAAAGATCGTTTTAAATCTTCATCAACTGTTTTTTTTACTAAAGCTTACAACTCAATACTTTAATAATTTACTCAAACAAATCAGACAAAAAAAAAAGAAAATAAGTAATGTCATAACATAACAGAAAATTTACCTTTTAATAAATATTATATACTATAATATACATAATAAGCAAACGTTGGTTTAAAAAATGAATTTTTTTATTTTTATGCTTTTCATATACATTATAGTTTATTTCTTAAGATATGCATTACGTCCATGTTATCGAGTAGTACCTATAAAGAACGTACTAAAATACATATAATAGTATGTTATAACAACTGTCATTATTGAAATTGAGATTCATTAATAATCTTACTTAGATTGCCTATTTATTTTTAGTTTTTAGTGATTGCGGCATTGACCTATGTTGAGAAAATTGTAAGTATTATATATGTAATATTTTGAAGTGACGTCAATGTGTTCAACGGCCGATAAAAGTCTCGATACACGGATTATATACAGTATTATGTTTACACACATTTTATAAATTCCATTATTTTTTACGTACATGGTAAGTACATATTTGTATACATTTGACTCTTTATAATTCTATCACACACTCACACATAATACAATTCTCGAAACGATGGTTTCCGATTTTTGAAACTTGAACTGATAATATTCAGTTCCTACAGATTAAATTGCATTTGTTTCGAATACTGGAGTACATCTTTGTTATATATGATGTAATTGAATACATTTTTTCAATTGATAATTAAAAATATGGCGTTCTTTTTAAATTTGAACATTGTATTTCCAATTAAAAATTTAATGGACGTTTAAATTTGTTTTTAATTTTTATACAATAGGTAATCTCCGGTATTAACCATTGCATGGAAAATTTAATATATTTTTTTTATATTGCTTTCGGGGCAACGTAAAAAAGGTATACACGAATTTCGTCCCACTATATTGGTTAGGTGTCTACCTAAAATATAATTTTTATTTCGTTTCCAGATGTTCATTGTGATGGTGTATTAATTATAATGGTGCCTGGACTCTAATATTATGTTTCGATTTATTATAATTTTACTTACCTAATATTATAAATTACGATAATGGATGGATTTTGTTACCGATTCCATAAGCAATTTTATTGATAGACATTAATAAGCAATTTCGTTTATCGCCATCACGAACAATAAAAACACGAACTCTATGGTTTTACCTATCCGTAAATTAGAATAAAATAACAAGGTTAGATTTTGTAAAAACCTCATACTAAAAGTATAAATCTAATTTTTGACTGACATTTTGATTGATAGCATTAGTATTATTATTATTATTTATTTATTTTATTATATTATGGACTTAGACGAATTTGATTAGATATAATAATTAATAATGATTCAACGTTTATTTACTTTTTTCTTACATTTAATAAACAGATTTTTGATTAACTTGTGATTATGTTTATAATTATCATTTATTTATTTATTTGTTATTTATTTCATTGTTAGTTGTTTAAGAACCTCTGATTGAAATAAACGAATTGCGTTCTGGATTTTTTGGAAAATTCATAAGGTCATTAGATACATAAGGAAACACGAGTTACTTGGACGTTCTAATAATTGTAAATTTGTAATATGCAGGCATAGATGTAACTGTAAGAAGCTGCACGTATGTCGTATTGCTTTTATTTACAACCGGAGTAATTGATTTTGTATTTTTAGAAATGTCTTATAATATTTTGTTATGTATAAATTAATAATTTTATTATTTTAAGAAATCGTGCTCCGAAAGTTTATAGTAATAATGGTGCTCATTGAATAAGTAATTAATCACGTAAAATCATATTTGAGTCCATTAACGACGTTAGTGCAGAGTGATTCACAAGTTTCTCCTCAAAACCGGACTAGTGTAAAAAATGACACTATATGGGACCGATATTTAGATCACGAACTGTATGTTGCGCGGTGGTTTGCATAACAAAAGAAGTTTTTATTTTATATGATTTTCCTTAATATTGTATTTATATTTTATATGATTTCTATAAAAAGTGGTTTGCACAGCGAGTTCAGCTTCAGAGAAGCTCCTACAGCTATCCTGCTAAGAACAATAAGGATTGTATTCAGCTGGGCTGGTTTTGGATTTGACGCTATGACTTTTTTCAAAATCAGTGAGTTACACACTTTGATGTTATTATTATTATTATTATAATTATTAATCTAAATTGTAAGGGAAGTTTTTTTTTATTTCTGAAAAAAGCATAAAGCAATTGGTTGTACTTACATCGATGTATTTAATTTGTTTCTTTATTATCATTTTGTATTGTACCTATCGGAATATGTAATAATTGCTACAAAATTTCATTTAGTCCTATGTATAGCAATTAAATATTTAACACAGTTAGTATTAAAACAAAAGCAAGTTTTAAATTTATTGTAGGTACCTAGTAACTATTAAAAAAAAAAATACAATTATCACAGGAAAACAAAAAAACGTGACAATTTTGTACTACTAATTTTCAACGGGAAACTAAAACTTTAATGTATTTATAGGTATTTGATTAGGCTTTATATAGGCTTAATTTTTCAAATTTTAAGTAACAAAACACCGATTTTTAGCACCAACGTCTACATAACTTAATTTTAAAAGTATCTTATTTTTTTCTCGTCATTTTTGTTCAAATCGAAAGTATTTGATTATTAGTTTTTACTTTTTACCTCACCAAAAAATAACTTTTATAATATTATTTTAATTCTATTATTTTAGACTATGAAATTGCTCAAAAATAATTAAATGGTTGTTTATAATATTTATATATTATTTATTTTCAACGTAGTACCCTAGGACAATGGCTTTATAAACAGATACGCTGTTGTTTTAACTTTGTTTGTCTTTTATTATTCTAAATTAAATTTAAACGGATTCTTCGTCTTGGATCTATTGTTATAAATTATAATATTCAACCTTCTTATAGAATTTTTGAAACATCTTATTTTTGGTCAAAACGTTTTTTCTGATAAAGTCACTAAGTTCACGTAATTGTTTAGCAAAGTTTTTATTTTAAACTTACACAACTTGAAATGTTGATTTTCTCATTCAACATTTAAAGTTTTTTTGGATATTTGCCTTCATGTATTGGTCCGATTCTTCAACCTTTTCTTCGTCGGAAATCGATGGTAAGTTTAGTTTTTCTAACAATAATTTTTCTTTGAGTTTCGTTTTCTCTAAATCAAATTTTTTTTTATATTTATACACATATGATTGTTTTATCTTTTCATATTTTGATCTATGTTTTTTCTCCAAGTCGTCTAGTTGTTTTTCGAATTTCAAACGATAGGACATAATCAACTGTCTATAGTATTCTTTGAAATCCGCTAGATTTTGTTCTTTAAAATATCCGAATTCCTGTTTTATATAATTTTCTCTCCATGTTAACGATTTTTCAATACTTGCATACATCGTTTTCTCAGCGTCAATTTTATATTGTTTTAATTTTTCCTCGCATTTATTGTTCAAGTCCATCGTAATAGCTGATACGGCTTCCTATAAACATTCACAATTATAGTACTTAATTTAGTTTAAATACAGGAAGTATAAATAAATTATTTTGGATTATGATCATTTTTAAGATTTTAAGCTAAATATTTAAAAAAAAAAATACAATTTTAGGAGAGAAATTGGAATGTTATATTTTTTTATTGTTTTTACATTGATATTACCATAATTAATAAGACACAACTACAGTAAAAAAATAGGAAAACGCCAAAGAAAGCGATGCTTGTCGTTTTTATAGCATTGGTGACTTTTGTCAAGGCGCATTTATTGTAATAGGGTCGGTCGTCAGAGTAGTAATCGTCCGGGGATCGAGAGTGTCTATATTAGTTTAAAATAAATGTAGGAGGTACTAATAAATGGTTATAATTTATAGATTATGATTATTAATAAGATTTGAAACAAACTTAAATTAAAAAAACACGATATTTACATCAATATTATGATAATTAAGTGCAGTGGTTCCCAACCTTTTTTATTCTACGGCGTGTATGTACATTTTCAAAATTATCCCCCTCTTAAATTAGAATTGAGTCGACTTATTTTTTAATGATAGAAGTTAACTATAGAATTAAACATTGAACCTATCAATATTAGATTACCTGCAAAAAGGACAATCATTATAAAATATTGGTATAATTATTGTTGTAAATGGACCGTCCAATAATTAATTTACTGCAGCCATCAATTTTACTTATTGTAAAATGATATACTTATTTCAACAACAAAACTCTCGTTATTTCATCATCACTATATATTCTCCCCATGCAGTATCTAAGATCCCCTAAAGGGCTGGAAATCACTGATTATGAGGACACAACTACAGTAACTATAATAATAATTTTTATAGTAAATGTATATAAAACTATGTAATAAAATTCAGTAAAATCAGAAATACACTTCATATTCTATGTAAAGAGTACAAATGCTCACAATTACGCATACTGTGCCACCTATGCGAGCCTTGGACGTACCCTTTTTAAATCAATACCTTTCCATGATATGCTTACTAAAATGTTTTATATTTAAATGTAACTGTTATAAAAAAATTAAAAAAATTGCAAAGGGTCTAAGAAATATACTACTTATTCACTTTTACATACATTCAAAACAAAAATATTTAAATATCTATCAAATTATAATATAGTATTTTACTTTATCTTTATATTGATATATATATTATTATTGGTTATATTATAATATAATCCAAATATACATAATATTCATCTGCACCTATCTAGATAATTTTATACATATTTTATTTTATCTACACATTTTTATGTTATCATTTTCATAATCTATTCCATGTTACATTCATTATAATCTAATTCAATTGTTTATATGAAAATAAGTAATATATTGTAAAAGTGTATACATTGATAGAATGCGATAAGTATAAGTTATGTTGGAATAAGTATATATGTCATGAATTAGTGAAGGGAGTGTCCATACTGTCCAATGACACCACTTCATAGTTCAGAACTTATCATCTAGGTATGATTTTTATTTTAAAAATAAACCTACTTGATTGTAATAATATTATTTAGTATTGATAATCAACGATTTTATACACTTTGATTTATAAATAAACCAACTATCAGTTATTTATACTTGGATAGGCAACTTGGTTAATAAATAATAATCGATCATTGGTTTAAATTGGATTTGTATTTTAAATTTATATTTTAAACTTAGTATATTCAAACCAACTTTGATTCGTGTTTTAATTTTTTATTAATATGAATCTGAAGGTGTCGATAGTATTAATATTTTAATTTATATCAGGATAGTAACATGATACATGCATGTTAAAAAAATGTTAATATGTAGTTAACATTATGAAACGTTATTAACAAATTTAATGATAAACATATATTTCAGTTCGAAAATTATCTTCTTTGAATAATTATAGCGAGAGCATAATAATATTACACATTTGTAACGGGGAATAATGTTAACCGTTTATTAAATATTGAGGATCTAATATACATATGAATACCCTATATTTTTTTTTAATAATTATTAACATTTTAAAAAATTTTGTTTTTGTCGGAGTTTTACCGAATGTTTGAATATACAGTATAACACTATAACATAACATAATACAATTATTATTAAAATACCTATTGTGTTCTAATAAATGTACACTGTTCATTTTGTACAATGCATCACTGATTAAATCCAAAGAAATTGTCAAACGTGAATCGCAAGCTTACGCCTCTAAGATATTAATATAAAGGGGTTTAGAGTACTATCAGTGGCTATGTATGAAATGGGGATTAAACTATGTAAAAATGATTTGTAAAATGATTATTTAATATAACATTATGTACGAACCACTACAAACAGGCCCCCTTATCAAAATGTTGGGACCATTGCACTTAATGTTTTTGCGGGCCCTATACAAGACAGGAACTCTGCTTGAAAATAATGAAGACAAGACTAAATAATTTTTGCAGTATAAATAAAGTGTAAAAAGAATTATATAATAACTTATTATATTTTAAACTATCAAAATCTATCCTGTGCAAATCGAACTGTTTCAGATTCTGAATGGTGCGATGGATGTATTAGTTTTACATCGATGTATGTTACTTGGGTGTCTGCCTCACATCCACTTTTAGATCAATTAAAATGCTTTAATTTTCTTATTTGATTATGGCCCATAGTATAAGATTAAATCTAAGAAACTAATCTAATCTTAAAAAATTCTGGCTCGAAAATAACAGGGAAATATAAAAAATTGCTTGTTTTTATTTTATCTAACTTTATAATACATTTTTGTCTCTAATTAATTTGACTTTGATTTTCTGGCTGATTATAACTATATATAAACACCACACTCTTTCTGAAACTACATCAAATCAATAATCTATATTAATAAATTTGTGTGATCCATAATACAGAGTCCAGTGTGATGGTCAAATTACAATAAAGAAACCTCTAAAATCTTGGTTGAATAATTAAAAAGTACTTTTAGCAACTAAAGTTGTGAATATATTTCGATATAATATCAAATTTATGGTTTTGATTAAATATACTAAAAAAAATTATATTTTGGCATTGAAATAAAAATTAGTTGAATAATACTCAATAATATATGGTACCTATTCATTATTATTTATGACATGTATGATGTAAAATTGTAATTTTAAATTGGTCAGACTTGTGAATTAAAAAAATATGTACATATTATTATACCTATATTGTTATTTTCGTTAACTTGTTTGAAGTATTATTAAGTTAAAGTATCAAAATATTTGTTTTTTAAAAATACAACAATTGTGATTGATGTATAATAATAAATAACAATATTAAAAAAAAAAGAAAGTTAAAAAAATTCAAATAATATGCCACTACTTAATATATTATTATTATAATTATAATTATTATCAGTTTATAATGTACTATTTTTATACCTACTATTATTAAAGTTACCAGAATATATATAATATATAATATTGTGTACGATGTACATTATTTTGTTGAAACTAGTTATTTTACCTAAGCAACTTTCAACACGAATAAACCTTTGTGTCGAAATAACGTGTATAAATAATTAGTTTAAATATAAAATGTGTTACACCGTATGGCTTACACAATAATCAAGTATTTAAAGTAAAATGTTATTACTCAATGTACAGCGAATAACCAGTCAAATAATTTTTTTAATAATTTTTCAACAAATTTGAGGTCGAACATATTTCCATTTAAAATACGTTTCAACCTTTTTTTTATGGAACATTTATTTTAAAAAAGTATTCCAACTTTAGACAAATATTTATCAACAATTATTGTTATGTTAATTTAGTATACTCTAATGGATAAAGATGTATCGCTTAGTATATATTCATTTTCATACTTACGTCAAACTTATTCATCTGATATTTGGTATCTTGTAACAGTTTGTCGTCGTATTCAGCTCGTATGAACATTGAATCTTTCTCGAGTTGGTAGTTCATTTTTCCCATTACAATTTCCGTTTGCTGCTTAAATATTTGGTTCAATAGTTGATGTTTTGGCTCAAAATAAGTGTTTCCATGTGCTGAACCCATTTCTGAAATTTTGATTTTATTACTATTTTATTTTACATATAACAAATATTTAACGATAGCACCTAAAATGTATTTGTGCACATTCGCTTGGATCTGTTGTGCATGTCTCACAGGACCGAGCAAATTTCCGATTTCTATTCGAACATTTTCTTTTTTTTTGATTTGTTTTTTTGACTTAGGTTGAATTGGTTGATCTTTAAAAGATAATACTACTATCAACATGTGTAAGGCGTCAAATTGATTATAAATTCTCTTTCTATTTCTTTAATAGGTAGATAATTAAATTCTGATACACCAAATAAATAAAATAAATAATAAATGATTCAATTCGTTTGATTTGAAAATATTATCAGTATTTGATGAATCGAGTTTGCTTATGAAAAATCCGTTTTAAATATTTATAAAGACTGTGTTTTAAACACATTTTTAGTACACCAGTCAATATATATATATTGAAAGGTGACAATGTTTGTGTTTATAATTTAACATAGAATTATTGCTAATACAAACTAAGAAGTAGTAAGTACCAATAATTCGAGTGCATGGATTAAATCTGGATTTTTTCATTTGATTATTTCTCATTTCAATGAAGCAGAGTATTGTACATAAAACTAAGTATTTTTAAATCAAATTAAAAAAAAATAAAACATTAATAATTAATAATAACCGATAGAAATATAGCTAAGCAACTGTTATAATTTGCTAAAACTTAAAAATAAACAATAGAAGAATTGTTTTTATTGTAATCGTACTAATACTCGTAATGTGCAATTATGTATATTTAATAGTGATGAATGATGACTATAAATGTTCAATATGTTGAACTTTTAACGATACAACTGAATGCGAATTATAACTTTATATTAAAGATACCTATAGCTTATTCAATGAATTGTAAAATTAGTACTTTGTATAAATAGATCATACATTTTGTTAAATAGTATTTATAGTTTTGGTTGTAGCAGTTATACCTAATTTAGAAAATCCTCAAGAATTTTTATTCAACATACAATTTCGTATGAAAATGTTATAGAAATATATTTTTCTTATTTATTTATTTATATAATAGATATATACATTAAGAAACACAATAATTCTCAAGGAAGTAATACATATTTTAATATTATTTTGTTTTTTCATGACAGCAATATATTATAATGTATAATAATTTAAAATTTAAGTGATTTTTATTGTGTAAATAATAATAAATTGAAGTCTGTGTTCCAGCGGTAATCAGTACCATGGTTGTTACATTGGCGACAGCGTGGTCCGGTCAATTTCCACAGTTTTACCAAACTTTTCCTTCACGGACGGCACCACCGATAGCATTTAGACCACTATTTCAAGAACCGTTTCAACCGCAACGATATTTTGTGCACCAACCACAGTTTCGGCAGCCGTTGGAGCAATACCAAACACAGTTTCGGCAGCCGTTGGAGCAGTACCAAACACAGTTTCGTCAGCCGTTGGAGCAGTACCAACCACCAACTCCACCGCCGACTGTGATACGGCCAAATATGCAATCCTCACGTGTCTTACCTACCGCTCCATCGGTGTCAAACCAAGTGACCACCGCGACTGGTGTTCATCATCACGTGTACTATTATTATTTTTATTTGCCATTAAAAGGCGAGACTCCAATGACCGGCCGAAGAGGTGAAGACGATGCTCGAGTGACACGACAGCCATGCGACGACCATCATCCCATCACGACTGCTGAATGTCCCCCGGTATACCTCCCACCACCACCACCTCCACCATCACCAACACCACCGACATCGACAACTACTCAGACTCCAACTCCTACCGTATCGGTGCCTCCACAGTCGCAAGGTCCTTGTAACGATGATACTGTAGTCGTAGACAGCGTGGACTATTATCCTTTCAGAAGAATGCCAATAGTAGTAGCTCCAGCAAACGGCGTCCGAGATGGTTCCGAAAACGTAAGTCGGGACAGCTCAGATCAAAAGCACATGCTTAACACCCAGCCCAACTTCATTTTGGCCAACTATTTGCTGCCACCGGACAAATAATATCGGTATCGGAATATCCCAAAATCACAGGATATTGAACTTGTACATATTATAATATATCAATACAATATTATATACGACATACGTACATACTACATAATAATAATCATTATTTTGTACCCTGTATCATTTTGTGTTAATTATTATTACTCTGGTCTTGTGCAACAGTATTAGAATTCGAAATTATCTAATAATGCTGTGTAAATAGTAAATACGTTAATTCATATAAACATTTTAAAACAATTTAATCAATTTTTTTTTTGAACTATTATAATTTATAGTATAATTATTGACTATCATTTATCATATTATATAATTATTTTTGGTATACTATTGACTTATTAATGGTAAATTTATATTTTCTTGGTTCAATAATGCTTGATATATTGAACTATTTACTTAAAAATATGCTAAAAACTGTCTTATATGTTAAGTTTGGTCTGATAATGAATCAATTAAGTTGGACTTATTAGCTTATAAGATTATAAAACATTTGGTATATGTTTATAATAAAGTATGTTTGGTTTTTGTACATTCAAAAATTCTTCAGATCTCTGTAAATATCTAGATTAGGTTAAATATCTTACCAGCTATTACTGTTTTTGGAAGAATAAAAACTAACCAAGTTAGACATTCACCATTCACCAAGTTATGAACAAAGGTAAAACTCCAAATCCCATGATTAAAATTAGGTTAAAAAGTATTACCTATTATGCCTACCCTACTTATAATAATATAGTTTGACAAGCAATAATTTCTAACGACAATGTACAGGAAACAATCCATATAAATGAAATGACCAAACAATGTAATAATTTATGTTATATTAAAAAAAAAACATATTTATACATAAGTGCAAATTGTAGGTTTTAACACTTATCATAAAAAAAAATGGTAACATAAGTAAATGAAAATAAGTAATAACTACATTCTAGCTAGTTTATTTATAGTATATATAATATATATATTACATTTTTAAAGAAAATATTAGGTATTTTTTCTCAAAAGATTTTACTCACGAACATGTAACTGTGTTTTGTAATCCAGAGGGCGTTAAGTCCGTGAGGCGTAGTCACGAATTCGTACGATAATTAAATCGCTAACTAACGTCATCATGTATAGAGTTAGATGACCTTAAAATTCACCAAAACTGGTGTTGAATCATCGTATATTTTCTGGCCAACTACCAAAATAATAAGATGAAAGTAAAATAATTCAAAGGAAAGTGACACAATCGAGTATGGTGAAATAGAAAAAAAAGTGAATACATTTAAGACAGATTATATAAGAAAAACTATAATATTCGAATAAATAAATATCAAATATAAACTATGTCAAATATCATATGATTATTTCGATGTTATAAATCGAAAAAAATGTATCAGATTAATAGTTATAAATTTCATAAAGTGTATTATAGGTACATACCAATAAAGTAGTTGGGATTTATATACGCCTTATTTGTTAACAATTCATCTTTCATCAGTCAGCACTCAATTAAAGGTACTTACCTAATAATAATAAGTTACGAAAATTAAAAACTAAAAATTAGAAAATTATAAAGCTTAGTAAAGATTTTAAAAAAATTATCCACTAAATGATTTACAGAAAGAAGCAGGGTTTTTGTTCGAAAGACTGAAGTTTGAATCACCATAGAACACTTTTCGAGTAGTACAAAAAATCTTAAGAATTTGAGTATATTATGGTCTTGGAGTATATTTTAAGATTTAAAATTTGAACAAAATGATAAAATGCGATTGATCAGGCTTGGCGAATCATCTTGTATATGTATATTTATTTTCAGATAATAATATAATAATCAATTATATATACATATATATATATATATATATATATATTAGCCAAAAGTAAACAACCTTCAAGTAAAAAGTGTATTCCAACCTTCTTTAAAATCAATATTTAATTTTTACTACAAATAAATAAATTACTTTTCTCCCAATTTGTTCAAAATAACTAAAAATTACAGACTTTGAAATCAATATTCAATTTATTTGTGTATAATTAAATGTTATAGAAAAGTTAAATATTTATAAAAATTAAACCTTTTATTGAATTTGATGCGATCACATATATTAATAATTAATAAAAGATTGTATTTTTTGAAATGATTTCTAATTATACTTTTAACAGTATTTATCTATTTAAATATTCTATTTTTAAACTTATACAAAAGTCAACTTGATCAAAATTAAAAGCCATAAATACACTCATAGGTAATTCTATTCGAAATTTATGTACCAAATATATCATAATCTATAGGTTGCTAGGTTGGTACACGATTTTGTCAAACCCGTTATTTGTTTTCTCCGACTCTAAACTTCGGATAACTTACTAACAAACGTCAACCTTTTACACAAACATGTTGTATTGGATTACAGGATTACTGTACTATTTAAACGATAAATAATTAATATACACAGCAGAATTAATTCATCAAACGTGTATACTGTAATATTATTGTTTATTTAACTGTCCAAATGTAAATCAAATCCTCATTTGTCACCCATTAGGGATATCGGACATGTATAGCTGTACACGGACTAAATAGTAATGCACTGAAATAAATGTGCAATGGGAATTAAAAGTGGAGTAAACCTCAAAAACGAACTTTTTCAGAAACGAATATCATAATATAGAATTTTATTTAAAACAAATGTTAAATATTTTTGTTACAATATTCAACAAAAAATTAAATATTTAAAGATTGTGTTATGTGCTCATATATTATGGGAAATTTGTGTATAGTACCCGGTTGGTATTATAATAAATACTTTATCCAAATACTGTTTCATGTTTGTATATTGTTTTCAAACGCATAGCAAAAATCTGGAAAATACCTAGTTGACACCTTTTTGATTTAAACCAATACTTATACTTACTTATATTACCTACTGCAATGCACAATTTTAAAATTTTTTCTCTTGGATTTCTGTTTGTGAATTAAGACCGAAAAAGTATTTTATTATAAGTATTTATCTCCTATTGTATTTATCGTTTCTAGTTATAATATTAATTGGAGGAACTGAAGAAGTTTTGTTAGATACCTATTTCATATGTTATTAATATTATTTTTCTTCTATATTATATTTTTTGAGCATATTTTCTCAATGAAAGACATTTTTAGTTTAAAATACCAGTCGATGGATTACATATTAACGCTATAATAAATAAATATGCTGTCTATGCAAATTCCACTGAGTGAATACGCCGGCCAATTCTGTGTTTGTCCACACGACACCACTGCCATAGAGACCAGTTCCACCATAAATCTACAAGCAAAGTTTAATATGCAATTTACCCTATAACTAAGCTTAATAGGTTCTTCTATGGTAGGATGTCACTTAGAGATGCGCAGAAACACCGTGATTTTTGTAAGGCCACTGAGTATTCTCTCGTCAAACACAGTAGTATACGATTCTATTAAAAATTGAGCAATTCGATCTCAATATCTGATGGTGAGAACAATAAATTACATCACATGGTATAAAGATATATTCAATTTTGTGCATGTCATATCACTAGTTAATAGAGTATATTAACGATGAGTGATGAATCAACGTTCGTTTTCGTTAAAATTNAAATATTCTAAAATAGTCGTAAATAAAACAGTAACACTTGGTTAAAGGAATTAAATATAATATATTAAAGAATATCAAAAACAAATAATAAAAAGAAACGTCAAAAAAACTGCTTGTTAGCCTCGACAATGAGTGATCCAAAAACTGAACAGCCCCGCTCCCGTCGCAGACGTCGCCTTATGTAGTGGTAGCAATTTTGCTGATTCGGCTTTATTCAATTTTGCATCATTGTTTTAATTTTTTATAATTTTGTTATGTATATGTACAAACATTGTAACATGGAAATAATTAATATTTAATACATCTTTGATGTACCTACTTAAAAAATATTTTTTCGTTAGGATTTTTTATTAGCATTTAAGAAACTTCCAGAAACTATGTTTAATACGCATTAGAGGTGGTCACATCAGTATAAGTACTATATTATAAAACGAAGGAACTTTAAACTAAATCTGAAAAAATAAAAATAAAATGTTGGAGAATTAAGTATAAGGATTATACACTTAGAAGTATAATAATATAAAATCATAGAAAAGTAGTTCAATATAACATATACAACATAGTATAACAACAGCAATAAGTATCATTCGTCCGCTTACACAGTAAATACTCTGTCCATTAGTTGTCCATTACCTATTAGTTTATTATATTATTGTATCATATTTCTAAATCAAATAGGTACTTACCAATAATAGAGGATAATAGGTGATAAAATAATTGAATATAAAGAATGAATATTTATAAAAAGTAGTTCTATAAACTTATAAAATATAAGTAGGTACTTGGTATACTAATCATGTCGTACGAGCATAGCATTATGTTAATTTTAATTTTAATTTTTTACTTTAACTCCAAATCCTCTAACATGGCAATCGCAACCGCGACATATTCAATATTCTTTTATTTTATATACATTACTTTAAATCCTTATTATTTCTGTGTAATAGAAACATTTTTATTTTAAAAAGAAATTGTGTTCTATATGTGTAATTCGTGAATTGCATAATTTTACACCTAATAATACAAACATATAAATATAATAATATTGCTTAATTATGTGGATTTTTATGACATTTATATTCTGATTGATCCTATTGTGTTATTCATATTATTAGGTATATATACATATATATTTTTATGGAGTTGGTATACGATCATACTGAACAAATTGAATTTGAAAAGTTTTTAAATTTAGTACATAAATCAACACGATGTATTGTTATAATAATATATTGTATATATTATTTTATTGAAATTATGAACATTTTAAACAATTGAAAAATGTAGGTTACATAATATTATATTAAAATTATTTCAATTTAACCTCCACACATTTTATCCTTAATTCGTACAATAGATTTTTTTGCTTATCTACTTCTTAGTCATTTATTAACAAAAATAGGTGTTAAAAACCAATTGCGTTCATATATAATTTATGTTTTGTTATACTAATATTTTTACTGTAGTTGTCACTGTAGACTTCAAGGTTTTATTAAAATAGGTGAACGATTTTCTCATTTTTTCAAAAGTAAAATATGAATAAATGTGCGTTCTTATATTATCATTCAATCACATTTTAGTTAACGCATGCATTTGTGCATAATATTTTCGTGTGCTTACTATTTGTAATGACACGTTGACCATTAAACTAATACAGTATAAGTACCTATAGTGTTGCAAATACTTACTGATATATATAGGCATTCGAGGCTTAATTAAATTGGCTATTGCTTAATACACGATTCAAGTAGCCAGATAAGTACCAAGGCGTATTTTTATTAGTAGTGGTTGGTATTGTGGTGGAAAGTAGGACGAAGGTTCTAGTTGCACTACGACAGTTCCTGGCAAAACGATTCAAACCTTCAACAGTGAAAGTATTATATCGTTTTAGTACCAACAAAGTGCCGTATTCTTACCACCCGGTATCGCGTTTTTCATAGTTTTTTGCCATATTTTAAGCCGGTGGTTGACGATCACCGAAGTTCTCCAACGGCTTTCAGATACTTTGGTAAGTAGTTTTATCGAATATTACATAATTTTAGACAACAACACTATATAGGAAGTCTATTATGAGTCTATTATTCAAATGCCGATTATGTTAGAATACTTGGAAGGTATATAATATTTCACTATTTTATAATTGTTATATATTATAGAGTTCACATAGGTAATCCCTAAACTTAAAAACTAGGTATCAGAAATTCCCAGTACCCATTTTTCTTTATAATTGCGAATACAAAGAAAAAAACAATCGTAAAACGGGAATATTTACACAACAATTGATTTTAATCAATAAATATGCGTTTGAAGTTCATATTTTTAAGAAATAAAAGTTATTCATTAATTATTTTATGTTATTTTGTTGTAATATTTTGCATAATTTTTTTCTTAACATTTCTGTATAAAAAACCATTTCTTGAAAAATTTGGACTTATCTGGTTATCGCACCAGTGCCTTCAATTAAAAAAAAAATATTCATCATGGAGACTTAATATAACATATAATTAAGTTTTTTTTGATTATTATATGTACGAGTACACAATTTTCACACAATTGAAGAATGTCAAAATGTTCACAATTTTAAATTCCATATTTTATGCCACGAGCTTATTCACACTATTCTACGTTACGTTGGTATTGCCTATAGTAAATTAATTAAAAATAATACATTATATAATTATAAAATATTATTATAATAATTAATAATAATATAATATGGTTAAGTGATAATTTCGGAAAAAAGAGTTCAACTTGCCAAATTACTAATACACAAATTAATTGCTAATAATAATATAAATAAAATAATGTAAATTATCTTTAGAAATAAAGGTGGTGTGTCTTTGTTCAGAACCGTTTTTCGTACATATTCAATGATTTACCAATCATTGAATTCCAATGCCACACATATTTTACAGTAACTAAGTACCTATTAAAACTAAAGTACTAACTCAATGATGGGGTTAATACAATAGTGCAAATTGCAGAGCAAGTTCCATAGGTTTTGCTTTGTTATTGTTTAATGTTTATACACAAAAACTAAAAATAAAAAATAATTTGCATTACGATTTGAAAAAAAAATATTTTATTTGTTTTGTTTTCAATAAACTGAATTGGAAGTAAACCACTTAGTTTTAAAGTGTATTATCAAATTTAACATCGAGAGACTTAAACTATTTCTCATTCAATTCGGCATTCTTTTATAACACGGTATAACTATACGGTTTTTTTATGATTACGTAAAAATACTTGTAATTGCTGAAATATGCCCATGGGTAATCATTATTCATTCTTATTGAATTGAAGAATTTACATCTTAGTATATGGAACTAAAAAACCAGTTGTCTAACAGGAAGCTTAAGATGAATCGATGCATGTCTTTATGAGCAATTACCTACTTTCTTTTTAGGTTCAATTCAATCAGAAAAACATTTTGTACGTTTATTTATTACTAATGAATGATCATCATAGACTATTATTCACATGGATTTGTTACAATTTTTATATAACGATGTACTCTAAAACAAGTGCAATTCATACATCGATTTGTATAAAATAATCAGATTTGCGTTTAGTTTTTTTATTGCTTGAGATTTGTCACCCCTATTATATGTGAGGACTGAGTGTGGTACGCAACAACTTCACAAGTCAAAAATGTATTTATATTAATAGTCACCGCATAATAATCGGGTCAGTAAAATTAGTGGGTATGCAATATTTACATCAATTATTTGTTACATTATAATTTATAATGTAAGATATAAATTAAAATTAATCTAAAACTTAAAATATAATTTAGATTTTGACTGATTTTTTACTATGTTATGTTAGTTGCGATCTATATTCATAGAGATTATATATAGATTTACATCACCAAATAACCTTGTCTTTCTAAACAAGCAACTCACGACATACCGAGAAAAACGTGTGTAACTTAAAAGTAAACAATAATTAATATTGCTCAACACAATGACAACTGCTGCAAACTGTGCCCAAAATCGAGCAGGTTTTTTAGAAACAATCGTTTATTATTTTTTTAATACTATCTTTTATGCAAGCGACGAACGTAAGTATATCTTATATAGATCTAAATCACGAGCCATATAAATTGATCATGATGAGTATGAACAGATAATTGTATTACTGCAGTGGTAGTTACACCACAGGATTATCCAGGTGTTGTTAAACAATGATTTTCATTTTATGTTAGCATAGTTTCTAGTTTTCTGTTTATAAGTCTTCATTCATAAAAAAAAAAAACATTGATTTTTTCCTTCAGTTTCTATATTTATAAGCTAGGTGACGTGTTTTGAAAACACTTGGTGTATGTGTGTCAAGTGGAAATGAAAATGTGCGACCCTTTCAAGTCCTTATCATCACATATTGTAACCATTCATACGCAACACAGGAGTGGTTATTTGTCAATTTGAAAATATTCATAACGTAATATACCACGGTATATTGCAACACTAATTCAAAGATGATTACGACCCAATAAAACATATATATATATATACTTACACGGACTAACAACTAAGGTCTAACTCAATCAACTGGGTTTCAGACGAACGCGCATCTTTTTTTTGAGGATACTGCTATTCAAGGGCGATTGTAAACTCCGCCAAAATACAGGTTAGATAAAAAGGTAATGAAAAGGTCTAATGTAAACTCCGCCATTTTTATTTAGTTTAAACTAAAATAAAGTACTCGTGGCGGAGTTTACATGCACCCGTTATTCAAGTTTTTAACTTTTAAACAAAAAAACCCAACGAATAAAAAATGACGTCCTAAACATGTTTAGCTGCGCACAGTGGAAGGAATATGCAAGGTTAAAGGAATTTTGAGTATTCGCTGTAACCTAAGAATAAGATAAACCACCACTAAAGACCTGGCCAGAAACTATGCGGTATTGAAATTAAACCAGAACAGGAAGTTTATTTGGAACAATCGGATGTTTTGCTACTAAGGATAGGTACACGTTCATGCACTCTTCCCGTTGGATAGTTATTACTCTGAATAATATTGTTGATAAGTAACCATAATATATTATTTTTCATATTAGTAGGAAATTTTAAAAAGAAATTTCATGACAACAATCTTTAAATGATTGCTCTTATGCGTATATATATATTGTTATAAGTAGGGGCCTGGTATGGATTATTGGTTGGCTAATAGGTATATACTTTTCAATAGAATTGAAAAGAATATTTCAAACTTATATAGTGGCAAATGGCAATGAACAAGCTAAAGTCGTATTTAAAAAAAAATATACATGTTTACATTATATTTATTTTTGAATATTTTTTAAAATAAACAACTCTAAAGTATATCTTTATCGACGTATACAGGCGTTTTGTAACAACGAGTAGATACACACCTACATACATACTTATTTACCTATTTATCTTTTAATAAATGAAATAAATAACCATTTGTACACTGCAAGTTAAATGTTATCATGCGGGGACGAAAAATCCGAATACAAGAATTCAGTGTTTTTATTTTGATGACAGTTTCCCTTTATCGAGACTTAACCGTTTGTGTTATTTTTTCGTGCAACGATCAGCCTCTTAGGATATTGTGTTGATAGGTAGGAAGATATTTTCTGCCGTTGTCAAGAGCACTGCACACACACACACACACACACACACACGCTACACCGGATGCTGTAGGAAAGGTCGTCTCTTTAGACTCCGGACGCCCAGAGTTCCGGTAGACCCTCACTCACTCACTTCTCAGTCACAGGAAATGTGCTGGGGAGGGGGTGTTTCCGACTATGGAATAGCCCACGGAACGATAAACCCCTTCATAATAAATATTGAAGTCCGGCAGCCTCGACCTATATTGATGCTTGAACGAAAACGACTGAATATTATGATTGAATGTGCCTACTACCTACCTACTCCACGTTTTTATGTATATTTTTCTGATTCGCAGACGCTCAAAAACCATACATCGTAACAATATGTATATCAAACTTCTTTTCTCGGCGTTTACAATCACGGCGTTCACGTCAGCACGCCCTCAGCAATTGCCGTTATCTTTAGTGCCACCCGTCCAACAGGGTTTCGTAGCACCGCCACAAAACAACGCCATAAATCCTTCAGTAAGTCCACACGATAACTACCTAACCTGTAATGTAACTAAACCGTGCCCTAACCACGTACCGGATAATGTTGGTCGTTTCTTATATTATTAACACTCGTGCCTTGTATAGAACCACATCGTATTAACGTATCGATATTCATTACCTACCTGTACTATAATAGTATAGAGCATAAATATTTAACCACAATTGATCGAAAACATCAATTATTTTTACGGTTTTCGAAACGCGTTCGGTTTCGTTTCAATAATACGAAAACGATTTGAAGTAACAATTAATGAAAAAAGAACTATTTTAATCTTTATTGTAACAGTATACTGTATAGAAAGGAATAAATAAATAATATAATATAATACCTACTGAAGGCATAATGAATACAAGACTTATTGACATAACGCAACGTTTATCAATATTTTATAGGTATATACGGTAAACGCACTAATCACAGAAACTGGTATTTAGCATTTTAGCAATACACTTTCAGATAAGAAATTTTGAATATTTGGTTTAAGTGCCGTGCCTCTTTAAAATTGTTTTATTTAAATTAAATATAAATATCACTGAGAAAATGTAAATCTTTATGGATCAATATTCATTCATATAACTGCTAAGCTACTTTTGGTTTTAATTGATTGTTTTAATTTTTCATAAATATAAAATAATGTCACTAAAAATGAAACATAGTAGGTGGTAATTGTTTTAAATAAATAAATCTTATTTACATATTATATGATACATGTACATGTAGTATCACAAATACTTAGACAACTTTACTGAATACATTTTGTATTTACTGTTTTATGATTTAAATGTATAATAAATATTTTTCACTACCTAATAAAAAACATGTACATAATCATACATTTGTCAGAAATAAATTGTAATTTTTAATAATAATACAATATAGGGTTAAAATAAAGTAAGATTTCTATTTCTATTAACTGTTCACCTATTTAATTTTTAGTTCATGGTTACTTGAACATTACATTATAATATAGGTATGCCTGAATCTTGATGGCCGTGTCAGAGGTTAACGGAGAAAATACGTTAATATGCATACTAGACTCCTTGTACCTAAAATTAAGGAAATTCAAAAACGCCATTTTAATATTTCTATAATAACTATTGAATAAAAATCGTTAATGAACCGTTAAGTGAAAAAAATGCTCTGAACATGCTGCTAGGTTATAACCTTATACCATAATATATTTTTCGCCATTTTTTACCTTCTCAGATGGTAATTAAGACCAATTTGTAATCCAATAAAATAATAGGTACCTACATTGCATAACCTATAAGGCTATAAATACATTGATATATATATATATATTATATATATTACATTGAGTTGTATAGCACAAAAGAAATAAATTTAAAAAATAAAGTGTGCTGCGAATTACATAGTACCTATATGTTTCGTTATTTGTCATGGCAGAGATTATGTTTATTGATTTTTGGACGAGACTCAGATTACAATACCCACCAAATTTTATTTTTGGCGTCATTTTTTTCCTCATTGTATGGTGTCTGAATTGCACTTTTACATGTATCTACTATTTATTTGCAAGAGCATCGATTTTATAGCGAGGAAGCAAACAATTGTCCATTATACATTTTAAACTTTTTAATTATTCTTATCACCTCAATACGTACCTCAATACAAAACACTTCCCAAAAAAGACTGTAGTTAAGACGTAGTAGTAAGACCCTAAGTCTTGACTGTCTGTAATCTTGCCTAATCTTAACATATGTTTTTTTGTTATTAATCGTAAGCATTGGCAACTATTTAGATTAACATTTTTTTCGGTGGGGGGGGGTTGATCGAGAAACATGTATATGTGGGGTGAGGATTTGTCATTAAAAACACGTGTAGTCAACCATTCGGGAACTATAGCTGCACCAGCCGATGCTGGACGTCAGAACACGTCTGTGACTTGCCAACCACCGAGTCATACCAGGTTCCATAGCATACTTTTATGCAAACAAAATAATCATACATTCGATATTGATTTGATTTAGAAATTATTTAATATTCCATATATAATATAATGCAATTATTTTGACCATTGGAATGAAATACGAAATAGTGAAATCTGTAAAAAAAAAAATTCTCTAAGGTTCGGAGTACCTCCTTCCCATTATGTGAACGCTTGTGTTATTATTGACACATAATAAATTGTCCCATACATTTTTTACTAAAATCATTTTTAAACTTAACCTAGAGGGAATTCAAATCTTTTTTTGGGGTGAAACAGGAATCTAATCTATTTTTAAATATTTTATTTTTTTGTGTGTTTACGGGTATTATATTTAACTTAACCTACGTTATGCTTGATAACTTGGAGGGAGAATCAGTAAAAAGGTCTTACACATAGATTACAATGTTAGGTTAGGGCATCCTTTTCATAAATGTATATTGTATGCTATAAACCAATACTTTTGAGATATCTGGTATAAACCTTCTATGGATACTATTTGAGACAGTATGCTTTTTATTTATAATCTGTAATCTAATAAATTTTAATAAGGACATAATATGATAATAGATGGACTTTAAAAACTAAAAATATTTTGTATTTTTACAGATCAACTCTATCGGCAAGCCAACCAATCCAATTGTGGTGGCCGCGTTCCAGAGAGATGCTTTGCTGCCCCCGCACATGCAAAATTCGTTTTATAAGAACCCTAAGATAGCAGAAAATTTGGCCCAGAACAGTTGGTTTGGCCCTGGTGAGCAACACGCTGTCAACAGGGAAACTGAAAAGATTCCGAGAGAGAAAATCTTTCTCATTTTAAAAAACGCGGGACTATTGCCCACGCATTGACTCGGCATAATTAATTAACATCAAGATTAATATTATTATTATTTAATACTAGCATAATATTATATATGATGCATTAAATTAATTGTACATATTTTTATCACATCTTTTTCCCGAATCAAACACCAAATGCTTCACTCATTTTTTGTACATTTTTTCCTCTAAATATAATTTTTAGCAATAGTAAAAAATGGCGTGTTTAACAAACATATTTTTTTAAATATAAATACTGTATAATATTTAAGTAATTACATCAGACCATGTGCGTGTGAGTACATTAAATTTTGTAAATAGAAAATAATTACTGTAACATTATATTAGAATAAATCATTATATTTTATCTTTGTTTTTGTAAGTCAAATGTTTTTTTTTTATGAATACGTGTACCAAACATAATAACCAGTAAATAGTATATTTTACAAAAGAAAAAAACTTATATTAGATCATCAAATTTTTCATTATTATAAACGTGTATGTTATATATTTTATATTATACGTATTAAGTAATGGCCTATATTTATATAATAAAATAATAATGTTTGTAAACAAGGTAGTTTGAAAGTCAGTATTTGTTTTCTTATGCCTGAGGACTAAAGGCATTTTCTTCAAAATTATATTTTTTATTTTCTACAGCTCATATTTTTACGATTTCTTTTAAACTAAATATTAAGATGTTCATGTCGGTTAAAAATATTATAATTTTTGGTTCGAAAAATTAATACGATTTTGATGCATTTCAATTATAAATAAATTATAAGTTTTAGACGTATTTTTCAATAATAATAATAATAATAAAAGACGATAATATTGCAATAAATAATTAATTTTACAATAAAGAATTGTCTATACTAAGAAAAAACTATAGTTCAACTCTAAAACTAATGAATAAATTGCTGAGTAAGTACTTGTATTGGAGAATTGCCGTGTTGGGTCCATAAAACACCTATAATATATTAAAGACTGTTGACTGTTGTTGTATATCTACTACTTATGAAAAACTATTGCATTTTTTTTATTAGGACCGTATAATATGATGAAGATGTTGATAAATTCGTATTATTCTGCGAAAATTATAATACATGTGCGCCCTACGCTTCTACATTCCATCGTAAATTGTAATATTACATAATAATTGTAATATTTTTAATATTACTATTATATTTATCTATACTAATAAATTGTATAAATACATTTCGTACCAGTTTAAATGTAATAAATAATAATATTATACTAAAAATAAATTATCAGTTTAAGTGAAAAAAATTAAATTTCAAAATTCAACACAATAACCTAATTTAATCATCAACATCAATTTGATAATTATTTTGAAAATATTAAATTCATCAAACTATGATAATTATTACTTATATAATTAGTATTGTTTATATTGTTTCATAATTATTTTTTTTTCTTATACTGTTGACGTGATACAATATTGTAATTGTCATAGATATACAAATTTGGAGATCACCACATATTAAACAAATTGGGATTTCACCTTTCAGATTCAATGCTAAGCGATGAATGTATTATTGTATTGATTTTAAAATGAAGTGTGTATTTTGATGAGATTCAAAAATTAGTAACCGGAGATACTTGATTTTCGAAAAATAATTAATGTTTGCAGTTTCTAGACATTGATTTTTTTTTTAAATTTCAAGTTTTTTGATCCTTTTATAGACAATTTAAATTATCTACTTAAAATTTTTTTTTCTGATTAAAATTGATTCAAATGTTGTTACCAAATTTTGATAAATAAACGAAACACATAGATTTTTAGTTAATGTTTCAGTTATTTCGTTGAAATATCTATAGGTATTCAAAAAGAATTAATTAAACATAAGGACTTGAAACTTTTCACCATCATGTACGTTACTGAATTATGATGACTTACATAACACGACAAGTAAACAACAACAAGAACGTTTATTTACCTTACCATTAATAAACGGTCAAGTTGTTTCGTAATATTTGTTGCTTAGCGCTTTTGAAAGCAAATAGAGTTGTGTATATGGTACTTAAACATGTTAGAAAGTTATAAGTTCAAAAGGAACTCACACAAGTTGTTTTCAGCCGTCGTGATATTGCATATTTTATTGTTGTTACAAGATATGTTTAAAATATAAAACATATAAAAAATACAAAAACATGTAATTATAAGTAATATTACTATTGACAGTAATAAAAATAAAATTATTTATAAACTCTGGAATTGTTTGTATTTGACGAATGTAAAAGTAAACACCAGGTAACTACCTCCTAATATTTGTAATGTATTACATATTTACACTTCACTTAGTACCTAATACCTATTAATTAGGCTATGAACAAGTTGTACAAAATAAAAATAAAGGTACCTCATACTAAAAAACTAAATGGATTTTACCTCGACGATCATTGTTATCATCGAACTTTTGACATAAGTATGGCAACCCGGATATTTTATAGTAGGTTAGGTGGTTATAATGATTTTCCAATATTTCAGTCAGTCTATTTATCTGATAATGATTATGAAAACAGATTAAAATTCACAACGAAGAGTATTACTTTTAACGAGTTTAAAATATTTTAGATTTATATTTCTAAATTTCAACAAAACTAATTACAACTTTTTAAAATGTATTAGAACAATAAACCTTATTATTTGGAAAACTAATAATTAGTAAAAAAAAAAATGATCATAAGATGTACATGTATATAATCTCTCTTCTTATGAATTTGTTTTTACTTTATAGTATATAATTACAAAATTATGTTTATAATTTTCCATAAAAAATATTTGAACAATGCTTTTGGGAAAACAATAGATAAAATAAATTAAAGAAAAAATATAAATTAATTATGAAACAAAAAAACACATGGTTTTATTATAAATTTCAAAATACTCCTATGTTTATACAATTTTATTTTGATTCATCAAATAGCATCACTACCATATTAATTAAAATTAGAATCTTTATAAGTAATTTAGGTATAATAGGCGTTAAGTTATTTCACTTTAAAAAATTGAATTTATAAAGAAATCCAATTACAATACTTTATCAACATCAATAAAATAATATTAATTTTTACTTCTATTTTAAAACTAAATGGAAAAAAAATCTTCATTTTATAAAAATAAAATTATTTTTATAGAGTACAAGACCATTCAAAATGACCCAAAATATTTTGAAAATTTTATCAAATGAAAAAAATGATAAAATAAATATTTTATAAAAATTCAAGTTTCCACGAATATTTGGATGTTGGATAACAACACAATCAGAAAATCGTTGTATGAAAATTTGTTAATTCAAATTTAAGGGTGAATATTAAATATCTAACTTCAAGGTTAGGGTAAGTCAAAAAATTAATTCGACATTCCGGTAAACTTTTTTTGTTGTTAAATGTTAGAAACCTTAGGTTAAAATCCTAGAAATAAAAAGAACAATGTTTATGAATTTCTAACTCAAAATAATTTTCAAATTTTCTAGATTTTTATGAATTTTATCGAAATTTTAAATTTAAATGCTCATAAAGAATTATTGTGAATTTACGCTTAATATTTTTTTTACCCTACGAAGACGCTTGAATTACAATTTCAAATTTGTCGACAACATTAATTTAAAAAAAAAAACTTATAATAATATTTGGGAAAAATAGTAAATTTGTGTTAAAATATTTTGAAAATATTATTGTAGGTATATAAAAAATTTGAATATAAACATTCAGTAAAAATTTCATGTATTTATAGTATTTTTTTTTAGAGTTACGCCAAAAACCAATTTTGAGTAAAAGTCTCAATTTTTCCCCTACCCTTTTGAATACTATTTAAAAAAAATGTTTCACTTTTGACTTCCCCAAAGTACAAACTAACAGAAAAGATGCTGTTGAAGAAAATTGAAGCATCTTTACTGTTCCAAAAGGTGAAGACAGATTAAAAAAAACACACTTCATTGTAAAATCAATACAGTTATCGCTCCGCTTAGGATCTAAAACTCATAGATAACTAGTTAAATAAATATTATTGATTGAAAAAAATATGTACGTTAGCTGATGGACGACATATTTTTTTCTAGTAATGTTTGTTTGCTTAATATTTTATCTTTTAAGTTATAAATATTATATTATAATTTATAATAGAAGATTTATTTGTAAATAGATATCAAAATTTCAAAACCTATTTTGGCAAACATGTTAGTAATTATTATTAACATATCATCGACCTAATTAAATAGTCTTTGTGCGTTTAAACAGTGCGTCGTGTACCAAAATCGACATTCCTGTACCGATGGATCATATCTGGTTCCTTGTGGACAAACAAATGTTTCTTTGAATCCATTGTAATGACATAAGTGAAATGCCTGAAAAATATTAAATATAAATACAATGTTTGGATTGCATCAAGTATCAACTGCAATGGGCGGAAAAATGAAAAATAAACTAGTTAAAACCCTGAAAACAAATTATATTATATAATAAAGTATGTTGTATGTATACAGTCAAAAATTATACACAGTGCAACACTGCAAGTTGCAAGCTATATATTAAGAATTCTATTCTTTAAGAAATGATGAAAATATGGAATATAATATAGTTTATATTTAAGATTAGTTAGGTAAATAAAATTGTAGTGTAATTTTACATTTTAGATTCTGAGCGAAGCTTTGATTTTACAATGATCTATGTTTTTATATTTATTTATTTTTGTGTGTCCGCCTTCACGGTTCATTGGAGTAAAAGTGCTTCGATTTTCTTTAACATCAATTTTTTTGGTTGGTAGGAAAGTGAATCTAGTTTGTGCGCTCAAGAGGTCAAAATTTAAAATCTCATTAGTTTTCAAAAGCAACAGGAAAAACAAACAAAAAATTAAGGAAAAACGGGAATTTTTACTCAAAACCATTTTTCGAAAAAATTGATTTTGGTTTTTAGCGTAAATCAAATAAAAATGACCATAGATACATGAAATTTTCACTAAATATTTGTGTAAGTATTTTCATTACGATATAACATTTTCAAAATATTTTGATTTGGTTTGAACTATTTATAGGAATATGAAATTTTTGATTATTATTTTATTTTTTTAAACTGAAGTCGATAAAAAATTTTCGCTCGTTCAAAAAACTTGTAAATGTAATACAAGGTCCTTGTGAGTTGTTAATGGAAATTTAAAAAACAAGTTGAGGGTAAATCCACAATAATTTTTTATGAAGGTTTAAACTTTGAATTTTGATAATATTCATGAGATTGAAAATTGAAAATGATTTTGTTGTTAAAAATGTATAAAATAAACTATTTTTTTAAATTTTTTCAAATAGTTTATTTATTTATTAATTAATTTATTAATTTTTTATTTTATTTTTTTTCAAATTTACAGTTATGGATTGAAAAAATTTAAAACAAGGTTCCACTTAAGCAGTTTTTTCCGCAACTAAAAAATCTAAAAAATATATATAAATACAGTTATTTTTTACAGACATTTTAAGTTCAAATTTAGAACAAATTGCAAATTAACACATAGAATAACGTTTTTCATTTTGTTTTAATTTGGTTCCAAAATAGCCCAATTTTACATAGGTATATATAATATTTTCCCAGCATCACTGATAATTCAAGAATAATATTATGCATAATATTAATTCAACTTACGGGCTACCTATTAATAATAAGTAACAACAATATAAAATATCCTAGACTGACATAACTTCTCCGCTCAGAATCGTTTTTCATATACAAAGATATATCATTGAATTCAAATTTAATACCATTCATTAGTCATTACAGCGACCTCTTAGACACATAATGTATAGTAGGGCGACATCCACTTTCCCGCTTTTTTAATATTTAATACGTAGTCTTAAATTTATTATTTATTGAATTACCTAAATATTTTTACCAAAAATGCAAAACACAAATTAAAGATCATAATAATAATGAATTTATATTTTTGCTTATCACATTTTTATAGATTTGATAATTTGAATTGATATTGTCTCTTACTTTTTTTCTCTCTACATTATCTATACAAGCACAAATCAACAAAATCCAATATTTCACAATTTTTATTTTTAACTTTAACTTTAGCATTACTTGTTGATCGAGTACGATGTGCAAAACTATAAAGGTACACCTATCGTTGTGCACAACTTGATCATACTTTATTATATATCTAAACATTATGCGAGTACCAAGGTAACCTAGGTAATTCGTAGGTACTAGTATATCGTATGTGTATTATAAAAATATGTATGTGATTCTGTAAATCAAGATGTAACCAGAAATTATTCTATGGAGTTGTTTTTTACTGCTTAGAGTGTACAACTTTAAAACAAAAGGTACCAAAAGCTTCATTATATTTTCTGCATAAATATCATATTAATCAACCCATCAAAATATAGATGCTATTTTTCTAAACGCAATGCTGGACACGTAGTGATTGTTTTGAAAACTATTAGATTGATTTGACATATTGCTGTGGCTTGTGACTGATACCATGCTAGTTTTAGTTAACACTCTCGGCAATTGATTGTTTTTTCTATATCAAGTCGAATATGAAAAGAAAGTTTCAATTGAAACTAGATTTAAACAAACGGCTTTATAATACCGTCAAACATTCACCGTTCTCTAGTAGCCGTTGATCATTCTAATTTTTTCTTGTCTCCCGCCATGTTTGGTTTTCTATTTGTTTTTATTATGACAGAACAGATCCAATGAAATTCGAACAGGTGGGATAGATACAATTCCTTTATATCATCACCCCAAAAAAGCGGAATCAACGCAACTGGATCGTGCTGACTGCTGATAAAGGAGCATATTATTATTATACAGCTGCACTGCCAGCACGGATTATTAGGGTTACCGCTGGGTCAAATATGTCGTTAAAAAGCGTCTAGGGGACTCGATTTCTCCATCGACCCGAGATACACCTGTGAACTTACCGTCGATTTCTCTCATACGTACAAAAAAAATAATAATATTTGCACGTGAAGTTCGTCGTTGTGGACATTACGCGGTAAACACATTCGGGCTTACTGTCCAATGGCTACCTATTGAATAACGACGGATGTATTATGAGTGATATTTTATAATGTTTTGTACTAATTGCGTTTAGTGTTAAATAAAAAAAGATCGTGATCGAGGCACAACACCACGACAGCGCAAAACAAAAATATCCAACGATTCAAATAATGTTGAATTCATTATACACAAATCATATCACAGCCGCAACTCGTTCGTATTTATTATAATGATGAAAAATAGAAATGCAATTCATTTTAATTCATTTATTTATTTTTAACCTTTATCTCAAAGGAAAACCGTTACGTGCACATTCATTAATAACGCTCATGCGTTTTTAACTCGCACACAAAACCGTCTGTACATGCATTAATAAACATACATCGATGTAATATATTAATGTGATGCACAATAATATTCCACGTATGTATCCATACAAATTATTTTTAACACTGAATGAAACAAAAAATCTACCTACTGGCTAACAATTATACGTTTTTTTTTGTTTTGTCGTGTGTGTGTGTGTGTGTGTGTGTGTATGTGTGTGTAACGTTTTATGTGGAATTGTTATTAATTATTATTATTATTATTATGACCTATAGAAAGAGTTAAATGCATACTATATAATGACCATTGGTAAAGTAAACACTCAACTTGGCAAAATTACAACCTGAAACTTCTATGTTCGAAAAGACTAAGTATTAATAATACTTGAATTACCGGGTTTTAAAATCGTCAAAAACGACACGATTTTGTCCGTCGTCGGAAATAGCATGAAACTGTATTACATTTACCTATAATACCAACAAGACAAACAAAGCCCTGACTAAATATTATTAAAAGTTTAAATGTTTATGTAATAGATTACGATGGTGCATTTATATATACAATACAATATATCATAGCTGTTGTGTAAGTCATACCATCAAAACTGGTTATTTTAACTTTTCTAACAAAATAAAAAATTAAATAGCAAAAAAGACATCCGAATTATTTGATGAGCGATTCTCGTCATGTCAGGCAAGCGGGACTAAATCTATAATTTGTTTTGGCTAGGTATATTCAAATGTCAGCATATCGTAACTTGGGGTAAAAAAAACTAGACAGTATGATGAAAAGATACCCCAATGTTTTTAATATTCAATATTCAATCACTGCAACAAGCAAACGAACACACAAATGTCTTTGTGGCAAATGTGAATAGCTATAGTTTTATTAAAATAAAATTATAGGTACACCACATTAGTGAAAATAATAATTATTGTTAAACTAAATGATGAGCATGACGGGTCGATGTCGGTGGTTAGATTACATTCTGCCAGAGAACAGACAGTAATAAAATAAAATATAAATTTAACTTTTTTAACTTTTGTACATTTTTCCAAAGATATGAATGTCGGCGGGACAGCATTTTCCTATAACTAGACTAAATTATTTATCCAGCACATATACAAATTGTTAATTTACAGCAAATTAATTGTTTTATTGCATTTTGAAGTATCCTTGGATTCTTAAGTGTGTTGTAAGTACACTGCGTACAGGTATTGAATTTTATCATTGGCGGATTCGAGTGTTGTTCATTTATTAATAATACAGCACACCATATTATCAAAAATTCTCCTGGCTGTAGTTTAATTTATTCATGTCGAAACAGAGTATTTTGTTTTGTGTTTGTGAATTACGAACGCATTTCCACATAAACTTCTCCCGCCCACACAATAGGTACCAACTACACAACCGTGGTATAGGAACTCTCGCTAAAAGCGCATATGATAAAAAAATATTTTTAGTGGAGTAAAAATGTCTACAGTGTTACACTGTGATGATACTGCAGGCTGTAGCTAGACAACACATATTCTAAAAATTCTTAAAAGTCATCGTTGCTGTAAATTTTTTTCCGAAAAATATTATCTATGACTGACGACAGCTTAAAAATTATCCGACGAACAGGATGACTGAGAAAAAGGTTTCGATGTGGTTTTTATAGACTTTAATTATTATAATAAATATATATATAAGTATACTATATACTATATTATACTTAGTATGCGAAACTAATTATTGTTTATTGGCTGTGAATCGTGGATCAGAAAAAAATACATAATAGGTATCATATATTGATATGATAGATAATTGTAAATCAATATGATTGAAGGTCAATATCACCAAGGTAATGTTATGTACTTAGGTACCTATAGTAGGTATTTAATATTTAAAAAAATTATTAATCAATGATTGATTACAATTGTATGCGAAAATTAATTCATAACAATAACTTATAATGTTCATTCAAAATCAATTTCACACCAACCAGCTAAAGTAAATATTATCTACGGACTAGGCATACCATAAGTTCATAACACTAAAATACGATCTCATTCAAAATGATTTAAAACTTGATTTAGGAATTTTCCTTTTTGAACATAATAAATTTAAGTATAAGAAATTTGTCAAATTTTGAACTTGAATAAGAAAGTAACAATAAACACTTATCGGTATTTTAATCATATTTTAGCGAGGTCTGAAGGCGTCAGTAAATAAAAATACGTTAGATGAATAATTCAATATTTGATGGTGCTTCACGGGTAATCCACTTCATTGCCTCAAATTATCTATCTATGACTATTGGGTCCTTGTATCTATCCTTGTGTTGGTGAAATAAGCTAGTCTTGTAGAACAAAATGTTCTACTTAGTAGAAAATAACATTGTATTGAATGTATTTGTTATACAATGGTAGATATGTGTTTTTTTGCATTAGTGTTTCCATCATAACCTTTGAAACAGTAAAACTGCTTGGATTTTAAAATTTTTGAGGGCCACAATTAAAAAATTCTCATTATTTTTGAAAACGACTAGGAAACAAAAAAAGGTCAAAAAGTTTAACAGTTGTTCTTTCAATAATATAAAAAAAATACATGTCACATTTTTTGACAAAAGTTTTTATTTTAAATTTTGTCAATATTGGGAATTCAAACAAAAAATAACGGTCTTTCCTCCTAAATATTTTACTTATTAAGAAACTTTTTGGGATGCAATAATTGATTATCAAATTAAAATTTAACACACTCATTAGAGTTAAATATTCGGTGACGATTTGCACTCGAAAAGTCAAAACTTACTATGCAACAGAAAAATTTCTTTGATTTTTTTTTCCTCGTAATATTAAGAACATTCAAATTGAAAAAAAAATGAAACACATTTATGTTACAATGATCTATAATAATCTAATATTCAATAGGTATTTTCATAAACATCTGAAAATAAGAGAAATATTTAACTGACACTGAGTCAAAATCTTACCTGACAATGAGTTTCTGGATCTGCATATATTCTCCCAGGTTTACCACACCCAAAACTCATCAGTTGTATGGTATTGTAATTTTGTTTTAAATTTGTGATTTTATTGACGTTATTGAACGTATCGGTGATTGGCACGTGGCCATCTAATGAACTCAAACTCTAGAATTAATTAAAATTTGATTAATTTATTGTAAGGTATGTAATATTGATAAATGATAATATTTTCTATTTCAAAGGTATTAGTAGGTATATTCTACTAAATCTTCTATATTATATTACACAGTATTATTTAGCATCTATTATCGTTTTATAAAGATGTTTAGCTACAATCGTCATATTATTAAAATAGATAATATTAGTTGGGTACTTACACATTACAATTTATTTCAAAAGCTATTCAAACTTGTTAGTATACTTATTTTGTTTTGAGAAATGATACGGTTCAAGATATGAGATGAGTGATTCATGCGTCCTAGTTTTTATTTTTAAAATTTTAAAATAAATATATTATTACATCTTTGCTTATCTGAGGTATTTGCCTGTTTGTTTTAATTTATGGAAAATAAACAGATACATATTTTGTGTATCATAAATAAGAAATAAATCATAATTTTGTATTACTAGTGTTTAGTTGTATTTTTAAAATTATTCAATATTTCTGAAGTTAATTTTCTTGTAGGGCATTATTATAATAATGTGCTTTATATAATAAAATATAATACTTATATGGTTACATAATATACATAATAATATATTAAGTTAATTTAGTATTGTAGTTCAACTAAATAGAAGGTTGCAGGTATTAGATGCAATTTACAATTTGTTGCAGTTCTATCAGTACATTCGATTATTCAATGACAATTGCACATCACTAGTTGTATCCTAGCTATAGCTGCTAGCACATCATTAATATATGGTTGATGGGCTTTCGACTAGACAAGAATTTAAAACCACATATCAACCACCCGCCATTAAATCCGGATGTTGACAAGGGTTCTTCCGATTTACATATTGGTTCATATATTATACAAATCTACCTTGACACTTCTTGTTAAGAGAACACTGCTTTGAATCTGTTATCTCCGTTATGCAAACGTACAACATATCAACATTTGTATTCAGAGGATCCAATCGTGTGTAATAAGCTTATGATAGAGTGAACTGACCACATGGTTTCCCTTACTACTCAAAATTGGAACTGGTGAACACAAATTTGATGTGCAGGACGTCTACAAAAATGGGACAACATATGCTGGTGCGGCATACTCTTAACCACTATAATAAATTATTACTAAATTACATTCGTACTCGAATTATGTATTGTCTGCCTGCCTGAAATATCTATGTTTTAATTTGCCATGTTAGTTACTAACAAAATTGTGCTCTGAAAAAGGTATAGAATCATGAAAAATAGGAAAAGAATATTCAATATGAGAATTTAAAACAATCAAACAAATCGGAAAACTCTCTCTGCTATACAGTAGCTTGCAAAAGTACTACTTACATGTGAGTGTTATTTGAGTTAAATAAAAAATCATTGATTGTACACGATGGGAAACAATTCTAGGGCGAAGACAGTTTGACAGCCTATATATATCTAACTAATGTATAATGTTATTATATAGTTTTATTTTATTTTTTTATTTATATGATATTTAAGATCTATGCTTTATAAAGGACACACTATTAGTATGTGTGTTAAGGGTAACAATGTACGACATATAATGTTCATCGCATTAATAAACTAAAATATTAAAATACATAATAGATTTTTGATATGGGCAGTCATCCAGTAATGAGACTCACAGTTATCTTTTTTTCCGATAGTGAATTGTGTCTGATTTAAATATGGATAGTTATGAAGGTCACTACACCATTTTCGTTTGAATGGGTTTTCCAGGAATCGAAGGGACTTCGAAATTTTGTTTTATTAGCATGGGTTATTGTTGGGAGGTAAGGTGGTTTTGGAAGCGTAGTAACTAGTAATGTGTTGTAGCTTCTTCATGGACTGAGACAAAAGTTAATTTTAGTTCGGAATGAGTATTTTTGTTTGAGATGTATGCAGGTGGAGAATTTATAGTTTTGTGAAGCCTAATCTTTCTATATTTTGAAACGCTTGGATTTTATTTAGGTTTGATTATTTATAGTACCCTATAGTTGGTCACCATATGTTTAGACTGGCTTAATAATTGGAGGCTTATAGACAATTAGTTTAGTGTTGTTAATTTTTTATTTGTAATTTAATTCTCAATTTGTTAAATGAAATGATGAACTAATTTTTGATTAAAATAAATCACAAATATTATACAGTAGTAATTATTATAATACTAATAGTCATTCACATTTAAGGTCAATATCATAATTCTGTAAAACAGTGTAAATAAGTTGATGGTATATACTATGTACTCGTATGGCTAAAATGTATTCTAAATATTTTGAAAATTTCGTTGAGTACCAATGGAAAATAATGCATTTGTATTTTTGATATATCGATGTTTATGTATGAATAAATTAAGAGGAATCTTGTTTAAAAATGTTTAAGCCTAACCTATTGAAATTGGAAATATTATTCATTTTTAACTAAAATAGTTTTGATGAATTTTGCCAAAATTTGATCTTTAAACACGTATTAAAAAAATACCCATGCATATTCGATATTCTTAATTTGCTACAGCCTGTAAAAATAACTTATCTTGGATAATATATTACATTTTCAAGGATTTTATCAAACCTTACAAATTGTTAACAGCATTTATAATTAAGAAACTTACTTAATTCGAAAAAATTTAAATGCCTAAATAGATATATTCAAAATTTCACTTTTTTTCATAATTTTTTTTCACTTTGCTCAGAATTTGAAATTATTACAATAATGATGGGTAATTAAATTAAATAAAAACTCCTACTATAATTTATTTTCTCAAATTATTTTGATTTGTTGTTCGCATTCCTAACAAAAACATTTTCGTCTTCAAAAATGCGTTAACTCGATCAACAGTGAAATGTATAATTTGTATTGGCATTGTATTTTCTCAAATAAATTAGTTTGTCTCGAGTGGTGCATATTACAGAACTGTGTCAAATTTGATACAGCTGTTCGTAACATCCTGTAATTATGTTTAATAATATGACAAAACGTTTTGTATAGAAATAAGAAATAAATACAGAATGGCAAAATATTTAGCGACTGCTTATAAAGTGAAGCAATGGAATTCCCATATTCTTTTTCTGTTCAACCAAATTAAGGAGACACCTGGTGATCTATTAGCCACATGGTTCAAGGTTCAACCAAATATTTTCTTTAAGAGTATCAATTTGAAAATGGTAAATTGTATTTTCGAGTTATTGATGGTATTTTAACTACGTAATGTTGAAGTTATTATTCTATCTTAGTTAAATTAATAAAAAAGGTGAGAAGTCTTTTTTTCGCCCGTAGTGTTAAATTCTTACCCCGGGTTTGTGCTTTAGGAGGGGGAGGGCGCTGATAATTTAAAATATTATAGTTTATTGTTTTGATATCGTTCGGTTACATGATATTTTAGACTTTTGTAGAAACTTTCAAACAAATTACAATTTTAATGCATCTTACCTAATTGATACTTTCACAATTCACAGAAAACTGAAATTTGAAAGCATTTTTAAATTTTCTTGAATTTTAGACTTTGACTTACTTTAAAACGGTGTGAAAAAGTTTGTGGTGTAAATAGGAAATACCTTACATATAATAATTTTAATCTTCATCTGAGTATCTAATTTTGCCTAAATATTATACACTTAAAATGTCCATAAGAATAATATTGCTTATTTATTTATTATGATTTTAACTTTGAGTTACTTATAAGGAACTTAGTACGAATAACTTTTTATCGATATTTATGGAAATAAAACTATAAAAAGTCGAAAATGCGAAATATCTATAATATTCTTAAAAAATCTAAATATTTTGAAAGTCGTATACTATGTGTCTATGTGTAAAAATTATAATATTTTGTGAAAATTTCAAGTACATACGGTTCTTTGGTTTTGAATTACAACAAAATAAAAATTCAATTCTTTCATAATATAAACTAGTTAATTTATTATTTTAATTATTTCATTAATTTGTATTAATTATCTGATATGATTATAACTTAAAAATATATAGCATGTGAGAAAATAATAATTCGGAAAACTAATGATTGTTTGTGGTAGAGCAGGGGAAGAATAATTCACTACTTCACCACAAACTTAATATTTAGTAAGTACTATCGTCAGTAAACAGAAAAACATATAGCCAATTGAAATAATTATTTCATGAGTCATAACTGAAACCAAATATTTTAATTTAAAACCTATACAATAATAATGTCATATTAACATCCTACACCCAATAGGAGACTAAATATTTCTCTTTTTCTCAACGGAAGGAGATGGATAGTTTAATCTAATCGTTAGTAAGAACTAGTATAGTCCTACACAATATGGCAAATGTATGTTAGTATCAGTAGTATTCGTTATTCAATAATTTTTTTAAATGCCTAATGTAAATTATCGTATGGAAGACTTAAAAATATCATGAAAGTGACATAAAAATGTTCAAACTAAGAATTTTTTATATTTATCACATAACAGTCAATAAAATAAATACAAATGTAAAATATAGTTTGTGATGTATTTTGTATTGAAAAAGTACATAGTTAGGTAAGTAATATATGACACACATGTAAAATACAAATTAATTCGGTATTTTTTGACTATTTATTTATTTTTTCAATCAATTCTTAGTATAAAATATACATTATTATAAATATTTTTACAATATTAATGGTAATTAAATAATAGATTTAGGGTTATTTGATAAATTAATTAAATTATTTTGAATGATGGTAAACAATTGTTTATTAAATTATATAATAGCACATATTGCATAAAAAAATATAATATGAATCGATAGTACATTTAAGATTTAACATACTATTTAACATTATATACATATTATTACAAAAAAAAATTTAAAAAAAAATATTAACTCCATAAAGCAATATCAAATATTTTAATATAATACTGGACAAATAATAGAGATAAGACATTTAGAATAATTTAGTTAGATAAAAATAAATAAAAATGTGATTTATAGGTATTTGTGTAAATATTAAATTAGTATAAGAAGTGCGAGTAAGCAAAGAACACGTGAAATCATATTACGCTTTGTGAATATCCAAGAGATCCTACGGTATTTGTTTTTTTGTTTCAATAAAAATGTAATTTTAGTTTACATTTCCAGAAATATACTGTTCATTAAATGATCAGGTTCTGTTGGAATTCGTTGTATAGGTATGCTATATAAGTTAAATCACATATTTGCAAATCTGTAATGCTATAATCCATCATGGGTATGTAATATGCATTGTTGATTACTTCCATTAATGTTAACAGATTATGGATGGTTATTTTGATTTCGAATTTATATTTTCATAGGTATTGGAAATGTCCATAATTTAAGAAACATGATTACCTACAATACACAAATACAAAGTATGTGATCGTATAATATGAGAAATAATATTCAGACTGAAATCTGAGGTCAGCACTATATATTTCAGTCCCTTTTTTAAGTTCTCAAGAGTACCCATGCGTAAATAAAGTCGATGACTATTCGAACAATAATATATACATATGTAGGTAGTTAGTTCCAAATCAATTAGTCATGCAAGTCTACTCGTATTTCTTCATTCTTGTAACACTTTTTCAATTTTTTTTTTTAAGTACTGTTAACTATGATATTATAGTTTTTAGAAAACAACTATCTTTTCTCCTTAAATGGACGGAGCAAATTTAGTGGAATTAGGGGTATATCATTAACATGTATTAAATTAATATATTTTGCTTTGTATTTTAATTACAATTTTTTTAATGTATAGATAATTGCAATATCTATAACAATCTACGCCCAACTAAAGTGCAAGATATTAGATAACTATCGTATTATAATTAAATAGTGAGTATTAACATGTGTAGCGGTATATTTTCTGATGAAACACAATTTTATCTTAAATTTAGAATACAAAAAATGTAATTTATTTCCGTTAGTAAGTCTACAGAATTTGATAATTTGTACGTTTTTTTTTTTCTAAACCAGTAGTTTCATTATAACATAAATACATTTTTTTAAATTCGTTTTTGGAACAATCAACAAACATTTCATTTTTCTATCAAACTCTGGATAACTCTGAGAATGATTTGATATTAGTTTATTATATAGAGACTGTCAGTACATAAGAAATACTGGAGTTCTCGGAACCACAGTGGTGGAAATGAGGGGATAAATTATACTGGGACAGATTGTTATTTCCTCGTTTAAGGAATACCTATTCAATTTTCCGGTGTGGTACTTTGCGGATGATTGATAAATGATTGATGCTGGGCAACTGTTTGTATTATCATTGTGCTGTTTTTCTTATTCCTCCCACTCCAACATTGTAATCGCATTTATTATTTTTGTATATAAATATAATAAAGGTATTTTATTTTTTTATGTCCACAGGAAAAAGAAAATCATACCACGGCAACGATACGTATTGGCGCACAAAGCGCTTGAAAAAAAAATCGAACGGTATTGGCTTATAATTTATAAACCGTTAGGTCTTAGGTAGCTTAACTCTTTTGGAAAATGGCAGGATAATATGTGTTACGTTTGTTATTGTCTTCTATTACACAGGCGCTTTATAAAAGACACATCAAACAATCAAAGACTACGGGTTATGAGTTTGTCACGCGTGTGCCCATTGTCGATTGAAGTGAAAAGATTTGTTGATCCGTTTTATTTACAGATAGTAAAACTATTTGCAGACATACAGTATTTCCCATTTACTAGTCCACAGTCCAATTTGACAATTGATATAGGAAATTAAGTAATGACTCTTTCATAAAATCATTGTAACTTTATAAAATATGTGTGTGTGTGTGTGTGTGTGTGCGTGTGTGAGTGTTAGCGCGTGAGTGTTACATAATGTTACATGTTAAGGAAAGACTACGTTTCTTAACTTGAACAGTGTGAAGATAAGTTTATAAATGTAAACATTATAATATTTATTTAGTTACTATATTTTGTACTCTTAATGGTGTGAAATACGGTAAAATGTGTATTTCCTAGTAGTACACCGTACTTAGTAATTAGTAGTAATGTACGTATATATATCAATACTTAGCGTATTATAAAAAAAAAAAATAACGCAATATACATTAATGTTAAATTATAATTATTAATACATAAAATATATTGATATTTATATTATAGATTGCAAGACCCACCTGTCAGCCCTCGACGAACCTCATTTTAGGCTCTTCCCACTGCTCACTTAGCTGTCCAACCCACCTAGTGGTCAAGATCCCCATATGATCCAGGTTAGCTTCCCCTCGAGACTCAAGAATCACCCTCTTTGTATCTTTAAATTTAATAAATGTAAATATGTAATTTAAAAACAAAATGTGTAGAAGATAAAATATTCAACACTTTTTTTGTAGGTAATAGAGAGAGAACTACTGTCTGCAGGGGTGAACCCAGGTTTTTTTTGAGAGGAGGGCTAAATAAAATTATTTGTAAACAGTAATAGTATTTACATTTAAATACGTACAGAAATCTAAAAGCACGCGTGTGCACGAACTTAGTTAGGTATTTCATATTTTTTTTATATCATGAATTAAGGTCGATACCTAATAAAATTTACGGTAAAATTACCAAAATGTTAGGGCCCAATGAATTTTTTTGCTTGAGCTTCAGCCCAAGCCATCTTGGGTGCGCTCTTGACTATACCTACTATATATACTACCTATATTTTAAAATAATATAATTATATTCAATATTTTAAATTTTGATACTAAGACGCTATTCATAATTTTATTTAAACATTTTAGATTTTTTAATATCGAAGGCATATTATGTAGAACATTTTAATTAATAATTAAAGGTGTATTTAATGGATTGTATTATGATTATAAAAGTGCCTACATTACTTGTTTAAAAGTAATCTACATATGCTATTTACATTAGATACCTATATACAAGCACTGTACGAAATCTAGATAAAACTAGATAAAATATATTTATTTAGTTCATATTTTAAAGTTAAATTGAAATAAAAATATTCTTAGTTCGGTGTTTTTATTTAAATAAAATGGAAATGGGAAACTCGTTAAAAGGCGATTGTGTAATATACTAATATCACAAAACAATAGTTTAATGATACTAATGGTAATCATGGTAAATGTAATGCATCCATCCGTACAGTGAGTCGAGCGTGCATGGGAAAAAATCATGAAGATAACGAAAAATATATTACATAGGTACCTAGTTTTTTTTGTTAATCTAGATGGGTATATTGTTCATAGAAAATTATATAACATAAACAATTCGTATACAGTAGGTAAACAATACGTTTCGCATAAGTCACTATTTTTGAAAGAAATAATTACATACTTTCTATAAATAATATTTTTTTATTAAAAAGTATAAAATAACAAATTAAAGCTGTATTAAAGTGTAAGGGTTGTACATTTTAATTAATCAAAAACTTCAAATAAAAACAAATAAATAAAAAAATTATATTTTGGTTTTTTTTTTAAATATCATAAATTAATGTTTAAAACATTCTCAGTACATTTTAAAGTTTTGGTAGAGGTTAAGAATAAAATTAATTTAATCATAAGACATTTTTTCAACATAATATCACTGTTTATTTACATTATGTATTTTTAGATCCTTTGAAAAATTAAATTATGATGTCGTTGACGTATATTTTATAAATATTTATATGCTCATATTTTGAGTGTGCACTATGTACAGTATAAAATAAATGGAAAAGGGAAAGCTTCACAAAGAGTTTTTGATTATAGCTTGAAGAGTATATTATTAATAGTAAACTTGAGTAAAATATTGGAGAAGAAATCGTAAAGCATTAAACCCTTTATTACAAAATTATGGAATAAAGATAGGTAGGTACGTCGGTGGAAGGTTTAGTAATTAGGAAAAAAACCATACAGGATAAGTGAACATTTTACATATGGTTTACCTTTGGCATAGTGTTGAAAGGAAATCCTAGTTGTCCCCTCAAGTTATTGATTGACAAACCGCTTTCGAATACCTGCCGGACTGGTAGTTGAAACGTTTCTGATACTGGCCTAAACTTCGGTAGCTGGTAATTTTGCATATATGAGGGTATTGGGATTTTGTACGTTGTCTCCACTTCGTTATTACCATCGTACTTTCCTTCCGAAGGAATATACCTAATTTCAAGACATAAAACTTGGCTTGAAACGCTACACCTGATTATGGTTCAGGATTGTCCTGAATTCATAAAAAAATTACTATTTTAGTAGGTGCCTACAATATTAATTACATTAGGTTATACATAAACATATTACATATATATATACATATATACATACATATATACATATATATACATATATATATATAGTAATATTATTATTGGGTATCTAGGGAGGGTTCAAACGTCTTCTAATACGGAATGTCAAATGTTATAAGAATTAGTGTTTAAAATACCATTAGGTAATTGTTATACAAATACTATGTTTTAATACACAAAATAGGTAGGTATATCATTTAAAAAATAATTTTATCAAATATTAACTAAACAAATAAATAAATATTTGTAATTGCTTGTATGGAAATTACTTTTTAAAATGGTACGACTTTACTTTCAGAAACTTTTCTTTTCAGTACCTATCATTGTAAAAATCCACTAGAATATAATAGACAACAGTGCTACACAGACCATATTTTAATCGGAAATAAAAGATTGGTCGGAGTATACTTTTAATATTTTTATTAAACATCCACTCTATCATAAAAACACAAAATTTATCAACTAATTAATCAAAGCTTAATTAATACATCATATTGATAAATTGTATGTTTTTGGAAAATATGTAATGTATTTATTAGAGGTATAGATGTAAGAATAGAATTGATATACTATTATAGGTATGACTTATTAGGTACCTATCGTAGCATTCCTTCGTATTGTGTAGGTACAGTTGCTACTGTTTTTATTATGTTATATTGTTTACCTGCTGTCTGGCGTGTGGATCATTTTGAGTATTGAGTTGGATAGTTCTGGATCGTTCCGTGGACTTTGGTGAAACGATTCTTTTGGTCGGGCTTCAAACAGAATACCATCGGGCACGGATATTCCTTCTTTGTTCAGCATATTGAGTGCCAAGCGGTCTGCTTGAAACGCAGACTCGGGTATTTTACCACCAAAGTATGGCAATAAGTTTTCATGGAATAGCTGACGCTTTTGCTGTGGAAAAAATCACTCAAATTTAAAATAAAGATGTTGAATGTACCTTAATAATATAAACAAAATTATAATTTAACTCTAAGAGAAGTAAATGTTACTTATAGCAGTGGTTCTTAACCGGTGTTCCGTGGACTTGGTATAAGTGTTCCGTCAAAAAAAAATGTTTAGTATCATTGTCAACATTTTGATTTTTATAGACTCCCAACACACAAAAGTATAAGACGTGTATAACAATGTACTGTATAGTGTATAGAATCATTTTAGGTTAATATATTAAAAAATTAAAGAATTTAATATGTATATATTAATATTTTATTCTATTCTATGTTCCGCGAAAATTTTATAAAATGTTAAATGTTCCGTCATTCGAAGAAGGTTAAGAATCACTGTACTAATGAATACATTCCGTGCTATTTATGCTATGGTCCCAAAAAATTAAAGTATATTTGTGATTGGTACTAGTGTACTACAGTCATGCTAGTCTGACTTAGGTATTTCACGTGGAAAACATGTTTACCCATAATTAGGTTAGTTATTAAATTGACTATGTTCCAACCACAAATCAATTATTTTAATCACATTTTGAGTAAATTTGTCGGAAATTTTCAAAATTGAGTGATTGTGTAATATTTTATTTCATCAGAAGTCAATTTTGAATTAATATCGCTTACAACTAGTGAGTAGCAGGTAAAGTCACAAGTGTATAATTTATGGGGCTAGGTAAATTGAGTCCAAGATAAGTTTGGTACGTTTTGAAAGCGGTAAATTGAGTCCCGGGAAAAAACAGGTAGTAGGTAAGTTGAGTCCCGGGAAAAAACAGGTAGTAGGTAAGTTGAGTCCCGGGAAAAAATTGGTAGAAGATAAATATTTTGACTCATGTTGAGGTATTTATAAGGATATAATTTTTAGATTTATATTGATTAAAAATATTATAAGTACAAATTAATTTAAAAAACAAAAAATAATAATAACATTATTATTATACATTACAAAACTTATTATCGTTAAAAATTATCATTATTTAGGTATATTAGATTTAGGTATATATTGATTAAAAATATTACAACTACAAATTAATTAAAAAACAAAATATAAATGTCATTATTATTATAAATTACAAAACTTATTTTCATTATTATTTTATGTATATATTATGTACTTGGTAAAAACTTCATTGAGACTGATTTAATGAACTCAAATCGGGTTATATAATTATTGGCGTATTTGGTCATTTGCTCTCTTAGGTTTTGTTCCTTATCGAGCGTGCTTTTTTTTTTTTGATTTGTGCTTCTTAATTTTATTTGTGTCTCTGACTGAACTTCAAGTAATTCGTCAATAAAGTTAAAAATATTTGGATGTGGACTGTAAAAACGTCGGTTTAATCGCGAATGATATGATTCACAACTATTAGTTGTACGCATGGTTGTAGCAGCAAATGCCGACCAAATGTTCGGGGGAAATGTAGCATCATCTAATATGTAAGTGTTTAGTATATAATCGCAAAATAATTGTATTTGCTTGTCATTTGGTTGTACTGTCATTAAATCTTCTACAAAATATTCGCTAACTTCTTCGGGCCTTAGAAATTGCAAACCAAAAAAATATTTTAAAAAATTGCTTTTTTCTGAACTTAAAGTTTTGAATGTGTTGACTAAACCAAGAGCTTGAATTTTTTTCCACCAATTTTGTCCTAAATGGAAACGGCATCCTCTTATTACAATTTTAGGCCAAACAAGCTTTGCAGCCGTATGTATAGCAATCTCAAAATCTATAAACACTTCATCGGGAGAAAATATTAGTTGATATTGCGCACAACTATTTATAGTATGTTCAAACAAACGTACATAAGTTTCAGTTTCTTTATTAGGTAATAAGAAAAACACAAGTGGAATATACGATTCTTTGACAAGGCCATGAATAGTAAAAAATTGGTAAAAAACATTTGGACAGCTTCTAAAAGTGCCATCGACAAATATTGTATTGATTCCACACAACACTTCTAGGTTACTTTTTGTCGAAAACCCAATGATACCACTATTGCTATCGTTAACTAATAAAAATGGTTCATTTGTATTTGTAACTAATGTTATTTCATTTATAGCAGCATGCGTTTCAGCTATATTTTTCTTTATGTTGGGATGAATAGATAAACGCGCATTTCTTATATTTCTTTTTATTAAAGAAGTATCATTTAAAGTTAAAGTATTTATATCAGAAATTTTTAATTCTCTGCAAATAAGTTTCGATGGCAATACCGAAATCTCCTCTACTGCTTTTCTCTTAAGATTATTACTTAATTTTTGACGATTAATGTCTTGTTCGCTAGGTCTATTGTGTGTATGATCATTATAAATTTCAGTATCAACATCATTATGTCTCTTAAAAAAACACTTACATGTATTTCTACAGCAAGTCCATCTCTGTACGTCATTATTCAACATTTTGTGAAACCTAAACTTATAACCATATTTTACAATTATAGTTTTGTTTTTTTCACTATTCATTATTTCCATTTTTCAAAATAAGAGAAACACTCAAACACACAACTATTACTGTAAACACGATAGTCACTTCTCTACGAACAGTACGCTACTAAAAATATAATGAAATAGCCCAGATATCGTACACGTATATATCATAAGATTCATCATAAAAATCGGTGATAACTGATACACGATAATATGACACGCTTATCGGTATCTTAATTGCGTTTAATCAAAGGTACGTTGTCACAAAGTTATCGACTTTTATTGACTGTGAGTGCTGTTGGAGTTGTTAAGAGTGTATCGTTGGAAAAAAAAATATTATTTTTATTATTATTAATTATTACCGTTTTTTCTCCGGGACTCAAATTACCTACTACCAATTTTTTCCCGGGACTCAACTTACCTACTACCTTTTTTTTCCCGGGACTCAACTTACCTATTACCTAATTTTTCCCGGGACTCAATTTACCGAGTTAGGGTCATTTGGGACTCAATTTACCAATCCCGTAATTTATCAATAAATATAACCCTTGAATCGCTTCAAGGTCATGCGGGTTGTATAATAGCAAAAAAAAATCTGGTAGATGTTACACCCGAACGCGTTGTAAGTTGTAACCGTCAAGTTACAAACATACAGTATAATAGAAAAAATTGTAAAATATTTAAGTTCAGCAGGACTATTTTCGTACAAAAACGACAGGCTAGCCACTTCTTAGTACTTTATTATTTGTTATGTAAGTATTGTGTCAAATATTCACCCTTATGTGATATACCAAAACAAGAAAAAAAGAATCAATTTTTTGATAAGTGACCTTTTAATTTGTAAAATTACACAGATTTGGTTCACTGATATTTTTTTAATTTGTCATTTACTATATTATAATATTAAAACTGAAATGGAATGGAATTTTGTTGAAATTTTCCTATGATATACGTTTTTAAGACATTATTGAGCCATAATAAGACATAGGTATAAGACATTATTGTAAGACCTCTTAAATCCATTAATGGATGTAGCATCAAGTATGCGTTTTAGATAAATTAATAAATTAATTAACTGTCCCCAAAACCAATTCAAAAGTTTTCATTTGGAAAATTTTACCTTGACCAAAAGTAACCTTAAACCTCTAGCACTAAACCGTTTATCCACAGAATAACTTAATCAATCACTACTAGTAACATTGGTAACAATAACTAATTATTAATAATAATGAACGAGCTGGATCTTTTTATCCATATCATACCATTTTACAGATTCGTTGTAAATTATTATCGTGTTTATATCAATCACAAACCCATAAACAGGATTGTCTAAATATTGGCTACCAGCATTAATGTCGTAATATTTGTAATTTGTATAGTTTATTTGGAAAAAATGCAGCTAACAGAAGACTGCTGCCCACACTACCCATCCACCGGTACAGGCCTGTGTTATTTCTCCTTTGTGGAGATAAAAGTGACATTGTGAGTGTTACCTGGTATATACTTTGACTATTGTTATTTAAATATGTTTTTCATCGATTAAAACTTACATAAATATTTGAAATGAATATTCAACAATAAGTTTTTAATTTTATAGTAAGGTATAGACGTATAGTAAGTAGAGTTACTTTCAATTTCTTTAGTGGCCTGATATTGCATAACTTAGATAATCGTTAAAAGCACCCAATTTTATTCGCACGAATACGATGAAATTTTGTCGAATACATTCCAAATTGTTTCCGTTATGCGTCAGTATAATTATAAGTATCTACTGTTATTCAAAGACTAAAAGTATCTTTAGAAGAAAAATTATAAACGATTAACGAATAATTGGTAGTGAATTATAAGAAATATATCGACTGGAGTAGACAACGAAGAAAAATAAATGGGTATAAATTGAACATCAAAATGTATTATATTGTGATCCTCACTTGTACAGTAAACACTAAACATATTATACTATATGTTATTAAATTGTAGATACAAAGTACTTCATTATTATTTATGGTGATAAGGGCACAATTGAATGTGAATCTTTTTATTTTTTACTATACTTCACTATAAAAAATTTAAATTAAACCATCACTCAGCATCCCCTTAATTGTCCATCATTGTAAGCCTTATTATATTATTTAAAATTTAAAAAAATGTACCTATATATAATATACCCATATATTTTTTTGTACACTGTATAAATTAGAAGTTATCTTAATATGTTTTTTAAAATATAAATTTACTTAAGTAGAATAATAACAATAATAATATAGGTAAAGGTAATTGGTTTTCAAACTGTTATAATATAATAATCCATAGGTAGGTGGTTTCTTTTTAAAAATAATAATATAACGGTTAGTTTTTTTTTGTATAAATTTTAAATCGTAAAAAATGTATTTTAATCTTTAAGCTGACATAGATAATGTATTGTAATATTAAAAAACAAAATATGTCTAAATTTGTGTTCTGATAATAAAAAAAAAAAAAAAAATTAGAATATAAAAAATAATTCCAAAAAATATTGCACGCGATAGAAAATACTGTAATTACTGGTAGGTACATAATACATATTAATAATATGTACCCAATAATAAAATGACAATATATATTATGTACACAATAGAAATTGAATAATATTCTACTATTGTATTATGTTACGTTTGTCTTTATCATGTAATGGTACTACATATTGTGATTATATATTTTGAAAAATGTGACAGTGAAATTAGTTGTAATAAAAAAATAGGCAACGAACCGACTCTTTTTTTGTTAGGTACTTTAATTCATTATCCTTATATAATTGTAATAATTGTATACAATATTTTTAAACTGAAACTCAGATTTGGTGTTCAAACAATTACTCAGAAAAAACTGTTGATATGTAAAAAATAAATCTTATTAGTTATTATTGCTAGGTTATAAGTAATATCTAACTGTTTCAATATTAAGATAATTTAAGAAGAAACATATGTTTTTATTATATTTATAGACTACATGATTATCATGCCTTATTAAATGCAAATTATTATTTCAAATATAAATAAATCAACAAATTTAATAGTTGTTTTATTGTATATTATATATTCAATTTGTGTTATGTTTATTTTTTGAGATCTAGAAAACAAATTTAACAGGATCTCGTAGAAAATACTTGACAATTAATATGTATCAAACCAGAAATAACAAGCTACCACGTGGTGAATATTTGAATACTCTTTTAATTTTTCAACGGACAATTCGATAACTAAATATTTATATATAGGTACATGACCTTACTTTTTTTGACGTGTTTGCGACGTTGGCGAGTAATAACGTGGCCAAAGCTAAGCGGAACGCCGTAAGCGACCTGTCTGCAGGTGACATGATGATTCGAACAGCAGGACGAGTTGGATCGTGTAGATGACTGTGCGGTGTTTGTTCCGCGTGCAGAAGATCTGTTATACTTATTATGAATGAAAAAACGAAAAATTACAATAATTCTCAAAGTAAAATCCAAAAACACAGTAGTGTATACGCATTGAGTATAGTTGTTGAGTTGCAAATTAAAATGTGTATAAACTGTGGAAAAAATAATTTATGAATAACGGTCGTTCGACATCGTATGCAGTTCCACGAGACACTATCTTGTTCTTATTTTCTTCTGTGCTAGACCGACCGCGGGCTGAGACGTGTACGAGACGATTATGGTCATCCGACCAGCCGTCACAAATTTATATCGCCAACGTTCCAGAACGAACGGTACAGCGAATGACGCCGCGGTGGTGTGACGACTGTGTCTCAGCTGGCAGGTGGGGGATCGCGTTATCTTAAGGAGAACAATAAGTGATAATCCATTGCATCGTTAACATTTTTTTTTTTTTTTTAAAGAATAGAAACGAAAACTTTGTTGCGTCGACTTGACGTCACATCGTCTGCTCAGAAACGCGCGAGGGCGTAATCCTCCTGGTGACCATTTTACGGAAACGCGATACATCACTAAAATATTATGGTCGTCATGCATCACCATAATTATTCTAACATTACTATTATTTTTATTATTATTATTATTATTATTATAATCATTATTGTGCTTTTCGGTGAAATTATTATACAGAGTGATTAACCAAGCACTCTCATACATTTTTTCTTCAATTAGAAATCTCATTTTTGAAATTTTTAAATTAGCATTAAGAGTTAAGACCTTATGTTTTCAAATTATTGAAATTTGTTAAACTAGTTAAATAGAGCCCTGTGGAGATAAATAACTTCTATCTATCATTGTATCAAATGAAAATAGATTTTTCATTATTTAGTGGATAATTTTGTAAGTACATTTTGACGTAGGCATCAGAATCAAAATTTGAAAGAATAGTTTTTAAGTTATTTATTTTTATAATAATAGGCAACGATGATGGGTAGATATGAGAGATATGATGATTTGAACACTATAGTGATTTATAACCATAACGACATTAGCAATTTGCAAAAATGATAATAGTGTAATAAATAGGTACCTACTAGATCCAATATTACATCTACTTTATTTTTTTTGGTTAAACCATTTTTAGGGATTATACTCAATACTATTATCCTTAAAAGTAAACATTCAATTTGGTAACTGAAAAACTACTCATTTGAATTTCGAATTGGGTACAAAAAAAAATGATCCAATAAATAGTTTACAGTAAAACAAAGGGGGGTTCTTATTTGGAAAACAGAGTTTGTAACATTCAGGACACTCCTTAAGTAGTACAAAACAATGATGACTTTGAAAATATGGTATTTAAGTTAGTAGGTATATTTAAAAACTAAAAAAATCAGAATTTGAATAAATTAATTATAATAAAAGAAAAAATGGGGGTGACATGCATGGTGAATGGGGAATCACTCAGTATACTCTATCCAGAAAAATTATACCAATAGGTTATTATAGTTTTGGGATCATATCAAAATAGCTAAATTGATTTAATCAAAAAATATTTTTGAAGAAAATTCCCTGTTTTTCTTAATTTGTTTTTATGGTTTTTCCCAACGCTTTGGAAAACCACTAGGAATTTTTTACCTTCGACCCCTCAAAGAAGTATCTAAATTCATTATCCCATCTAAAAAGATGCTGGAGTAAAAATCGAAACACTTTCACTATCCCCAAAAGGTGATGACAGACAAAAAAAACTCACGTCATAATTGTTAAATCAATTGTCAATATACATTCATTGCTCAGAATCTCAAATAATTCATTTACAAATAGATTTGATACATTCTTGTTTAGTCACGTTATATATCACGTGTAACAATAATATTACATTTCAAATAAAAAAAAAATACATCTCATATTATAGAACATAGATTATTACTAGGCATAACTATCTGGAACATAATTTAAACCACTGATTTAACTTATTGTTATCACATATCATATCTGTAAATTATACATTCTAAATACAATGTTCGGGACCTGCGATCAAGAATAAAATATTGCCAACTGCTTTCTTGGCTGGAGAAAATATTAGGTAATAATTTGTAGACATGATATAAGTTAAATATAGCATAATATTATCATCATAGTGATTATTACAAAATGTATTTATTTCATTTAATAATTTTCTGTCGATGATAATATTAGTTGGACAATTTTGTTATATAATACATATTATTATTAGGCACCTAATAACTCTAAGGATATTACTTACAATTTTCAATACACTTCACAAAGAAAAAAATATTTTTAATAGATATTATGAACGAACTCGTATTGATTATAATCTACGGTTATAATTTATAAAATTATCAATAGGTAGTTATAATATTATATTATTTACTATGTGTAACAGTACTACCTACAACGGCTACACCTATGAATATCGGAAAAAAACCCGGATTGACAAATTGTTCTTGGTAATTGCCCCCATATTTTAGAATTTCAACAAGACTTTGTCATTTAATACTACAAAATATGTTGGTGGTTTCACGAGTAGGTGCATCTATCAATCACCACGTACATTTTTCAATTAAAATTAAACAGCTATATAATTAAATAAATAAACTACGAAAATTTAATCAGTCGGATAAAAGTCTCGACCAAATATGGAATTTTCAAATATTAAAACATAAAAAAATTTCCTTCGGGCCGGAGTTGAACCAGCGACCTATGGATATCTATGATTTAACGCCACTACAGTCCACCGCTCTACCAACTGAGCTACCGAAGGATGGTAAATATGGAGCACATTATTTCATATAAGCGGATTTATTCGTACTTTCACCAGTTTTACAGACACGAGTACACGACAGATTACGTAATAAAAAAAATATAATTTAAGAAAGTTAGTACGGCTTCTTCGATGTATTGCGCCGTGTGGAATATTCGAATACATCTACTGGGCCCCGACAACTGATAAGTATATAATAAGATCGCACTATAAATGAATGTCCTGTCAAGGCAGAACTTAAATTTTAAAATAATGTTGTGTTGCCTACATGGTTAAAGAGTGGGAACAGAAAACAAACTTGTATATTGGTGAGATTCAAAATCAATACATTTTGTACCTTTTTAATATGCTGCTGTTACTTCGAGTTGAAATTCCAACATCGTTCAAGAGTAGAACAAATGTATGGTGTTGATTAGTAAGGCATATGCTATTATGTGTCTAGGACTCAATCGTGTAAATATAAGGTCATAAGCATGATATATTCGAATTGTGTATTGGGGTTTTGGTGTGCTATTGTAAGTTCATGGCATATTAGCCCTAGTGCTCAAAGGAATCAACAAGTTGAGAGTCGCTTATTCGATTTTATCAATTGATCAATCTAACATTGCCGTGGTCTAATGTCATGGACTAATGTTCATTTTTCAAAACTCTTAAGAGTTACGTTCTAGTAGGTATACCTACCTACTGATTTTGAAGATTTTCGTTTTGATGGATTGAAACATTGGGGCTTATTGTATTTGATAAGAGAAAATATAAATATACTTTATTTTGATATGTGTCCAATACAATATCAATTTATTTGTATAACTAAAACCAGTTTCTGTTTTGCACTATTTAAGTGTTGCTACTAAGTAACTGATTGTATAGGTATTAGGTAGGAATATACATCTCGCATATTTTTATATTTTATTTACTAGTTTCAAAGAAGTCCTTAATCTTATTATCTTTCCGGCTTGTGTGAAATTTGGTTCAAGTGTGATTTGCTTGTAGACAAATCGAAGCATGTCTGGTGTTTATTTGTAAGTCATAAAGAGAAAATTTGAAAGTTTAGTGTGAGTGTCAAGTTATCAATCATGAACTATCACTGGTATAATTTGACCGTGGTTGTTATAACTTATAAGTTATAAGGTATTCATAAGGAATTATAATTTAATATATTATTGAACTGATGAGCCAGAAGGGTCATATTATTATTGTTGCTGAGAAACAAGTGGCATAAGGTTCTTAATACTATTATTTTTATATAAAGCAACACATACTACAAAATATACCGTTGTTTCCATTTTCAATAGATTACGAGTTTACTCATAAACACATATTTTATGTCTTGTATAGATAATATATTTATTTATTTATTTTTTATTTTTTATTTTATTTATTTTTATTTAAGCTTCGGCAACTGAGACCATTAGCTGTAGGTTGTGCGGTACTGTAGGGTTTGGGACTGTAGGGGGGGGGGAACACGTGTGTGAATATATTTATTATAGATACATATTATTATACCTCACTCAAATTAACCAACCAAGCCAACGTTAGTCATATTGTACGTCATCAGTTGTATTAACCTAGACATTTTGAACTCTACTGCTGATGCTACATAACTACAACTGAAGTAAATTACACTGTAATAAGCAGATTTGTTTTTATCTACATCTAAATAATTCTGTACACAAATAGATTCATCTTGCCTAGATATTTGTTTAGTAGAATGGCTAAACGATGCTTATAATATTATTTTTATTGCCGTACAACATTTTGTTTATGATATGTAAAATATATTTATATAATAATGTCTTGTTGTAATCGAGTCACTAATTACCTATGATACTGGAATTGAACTTGAAACACTGACCATTTAATATTATACCACATTAAACTATAAATGAATAATAATTGTTTTTATGTGTATCGTTTGCAGAAAGCCGTGAATTGAGAATACCCCGTTACAGTGTTTATATTCCTACTCGTCAGCCCTCGGATAAAATTATAATTTATAATAGGCAGTAGCGACCAACGAGTACCAATATACTGTATACAACAAAGTGCAAACGTATATACAAGTACTCTGCACAAGTCACCGTGTGTTAAAAATGTCATTAAAAGAAAACTATAGTCCTCGTCATACCACGTCGTCAAATATCATAATATAGGTTATGCAGTAAATAGTTTTATTTCACTATACCATAATACCATAAACCGTTTAAATGTTAAATAAACATTTTAAAGTAAAAAACAAACAAATTATTATTTACTTTTAAATTCCTTAGTTGTTTTGAGTACAATTCAAAACAAAGAAAACCACTGGATGTACATGGATAAAAGAACACTTTATGTGTGACTTACTCACTTGAGAAAACTTAGTCCTAAACCGTGTTGGTATACACTTTGATCTTAAAATGAACTATTTACATTTATTACCAATACAAAACTTCACTGTGCTTCAAATGAGAATAAAAATGAATATATTATTATAGTGCAAT